ACTAAGTGGAAAATCTGGATTTTAATGTAGGTCTATTTCCAAAGACCAGGAAATAGGTCTCACACCCACATGCTTCATCAACAGAATAGTTTATATTGCTGAAGTAAACGGACTGAGTCTCCTCAAAAACTTTGGAACAGAGTGGTGTAGGGTCAATAGAAGACCCATAAGTTATCTTTGTTTGACAAGTTCTACCAGCTTCCAAGGAAAGGGTGAGGCAGAGCAGTACAAGATGCTGGGCATGGCCAAAGTGGTCCCTAGAGTAGCTAATCTTTGTTTTGACTTGAGGAGAAGAAACTCATGGAGAACTTGAGGCTCTAAGAGATACAGAAAGAGGAAGAAGAAAAAACTTCTTATCCCAAAGGGTAGAATTAGGGGGACTGGGAGGGAAGGATGCTAACCTGAGGCAATGTGGATGTCCCTTCAGATTTGAGGACAATAGCCATTAAGACCACATGTACTTGGATATTTTGAACTTGGAAGGTCCAAAAATGTAACGGAAATTATAATCACATACATATTTGCTTATGTTTAGCTGAGGGACCACAAAGACACCATCTTCTCTCACTAGTCTCCTGCCTGACATACTCACCTGTCTTCATTAGACAGGACACTTATCAACATCGTATAGTCTCTCTTTGACCTTGCTGAGCTTGTTTTCTCATTTGTACCATGGACTTACTACCACTAAGCACCCCTCTAAATCAATGCTACTCAATAGAGCTTCCTGCAACAATGGAAGTGTTAACCGCACCGGTATTACAATCACTAGCCACAGGCCATTGTAAAACACTTGAAATGTGAGCATTACAACTGAGGATGGAAATTTTAATTATATTTCATTTTAATTCATTTTACTTTTAATAACCACTGGAGACTAGTGGCTACGATATTGGACACCACGGCTCTAGACCAGTGAATTCAAAATTTTCTACTTCTTCTCGAACCTTCTATCTTATGGAGAAATGTTTATGGTAGTTTTATCCCCCTCAAGATTAATTATGTTTTGAGAAATTAACAGGAATGAAGGGACCTAAGGAGTCTCATAAAAATAATGTGCAGGAGTTCATTTGGCTCTAAAAATTGTTTTTGATAAAGATAGCACAGTGAAGTCTGTTCTGTGCATGTACTTTTCTGTACCCAGAATATATACTGAGACAGGATAAAGATCTGGGCAACATGCAAAGCTTGGAAATAGCCCATTTGTCCTAAATGTGTGACCACAACAATCTATAGTTTAGCCAATACAAACGCTGTTTCTTTCTGCTGCTCTCCTTTGAAAATATTGATACTAATGATATTCTTTAATCTTAAAATAGAAGATAAACAGACCCATATGTATATCTATACCTGTATCTCCCGAAGTATATTTGTCTGGGATCTCTGAGAAATCTCCACTTCCCTGCAGAATTTTTATCCCTGCTTAAAAAACCAGATTGATTGACGCCAATGTAGGCATTTCAAAAGTTGAGAGAAAGCAAAATCTAGGCAAAATATTAATTGAAGTCCATACCTTTCAGTATAGAAACTTCCCTTTGATGAGGTCGTGCTGCTGGCAAAGACTGTGGCATCCCCACTCCCCGCATTATCTCATGCACTTTTCACAACAGTCCTCTGAGGACACCTGTATCCCATTTTAATGATGAAGTGACTCAGGCTTAAGATACTAGATAACACTTTGCCCAAGAAAGAGAAAGATAAACAGTGGCTCAAACCCAAGACAATTTGTCTACAAAACCTGTGTTCTTCAACAGTAGTCTACGTCCCAGTGCCTTGGAGTGTGCTATATTCTCAAAGAAGCCCTTTCCGTTGGAGAGTTCCAAGTAAAAAAATAGTTCTCCTGGTGCTGAAATTTGCCTTCTTGTAACCAGCCCTCCTCCCCACCCCCAACATAAACACACATTGGCTCTTGTTCTGCCATTGAGGGCACAAGGGACTAGCCAACTCCTGCTTCCCTAGGATTTATACATGTTCATCCTGTCTTTCTCAACCCTGGCTTTTTCAACTACAAGATAAACACACACAGGTCTGCATTCATTCCTCCTACAAGATCCTTTGCAGACTTTCCATTGCCTGATCACTTCCTATAAAGATAATAATCTGCTTGTGCCTTTTAAAGAGTCTCTATAGGGTTTGTTGTTCATTCTGAAATTTTAAAAGCCCCACTGTCAGAGCATGATCCTACATGTCTAACCTAAATGTCACCAACTACAATCTAAAGTAATTATCCCTAGGTCCACTCTCAAAGGAGACATTAACCAGCCAGTTGTCTGCATGAGCATATTTTACATTTTTAAAGGTTATTCTTTGCTCCCTATTTTTTTCCTCTCTGGTATAAATATTTCCAGTTCTAGAAAATTTATCTTCATAAGGTTTACCTCCTCACTCCCCTCCACCCCAGCAATTTCTGCAGTTCCTCTTTCATCTAGAGCCAGGTGGCTGCAGAGTTTAAGACAGGATTCAATGTGGAGGTCAAGCTCAAGCTTAAGCAAAGGGAATCAAGTGCCCTGAACTCAGCTAGGTTTTGTTCCTAGGAGAGCAAGAAATAGCTGCTACTTTTTAATGTGTGCCTACTATGGACCTGACACCATGCCGAGTACTTTCTGTACAGATTTCTAATCCATAACTCCCTCTGGAAAGACTTTGACTCCCATTTTACCAATAACATCGTGGTTTAGAGAGGATAAATAGCTTGGCAAAGTCACACAGCTAGTAAGCGACATTGAACCCAGGTGTATCTAATTCCAAAGCCTGGGCATTTTCCTCCACACTGGAGATGTAAAGGGGTCTTTTCCAAAGCTCAAATAAAATATCCACCTGTCCTCAGACCACCATGAGCCAGTGGGAAATACACAACCCTTAAGAATCACATTTCCTTCCTCCAAACAATGTGGCGTTTGGCTGTGCCACTACACAGCTCTTACATACACAGTGAAAAATCCTCACTCAACCCATACTTTGGTCATTATTACCCTAGACTCATTGCCTCAGAGTCTCAACCAGCAATTCTAATGGCCTTTTAGATGGAAATTTAAGTCATTTAGCAACACACAAAAAAGTGTGGATAAAAGTCCAAAAGCATTTCAAACTTGGCCCATGGCCCTTCCTCATTTAAAAAAAAAAAAAAAAAGAAAAGAAAAGAAAAGAAAGAAAGACAGAAAAAGCTAAGAATTGATGGGAAGAGGGTGGAAGGAAGGACTTTGTGGAAGGCAAAGAGAGTTAAAGCGATTGCAATAGAGTGTGCAATTAATGAATATTTGTCCAGTAAACAAATAAAATGGGCTATGCTGGTTTAAAAGAAAAGAACTTGCCAACTTTCTCTTCTTCGTAATAATTTTTATTCAGTGAGCTGGCCTACACCACAGAGCCACAAATTCTTATTTAGGAAACTAATTTGAATAAGAAAGCATACTCAAAAGAAGTGTTTGTTTCCCTTTTCTGTTGCTGTTGTTTTTGTTTTTTGTTTGGTTTTGCCTAACCAGGGAGTAGATGCCCTAAGTAGATGTTACATGGATAGTTGGTAAAATATCAAGCATGAACATAATTAGGCTGTGGTGGGATGTGTGGATAGGAAGTTCTTGATTAAATGCATAGCCAATGAGGTGCCTGGTGGCTCAGTCAGTGGGGCATCCGATTCTTGATTTCAGCACAGGTCACCATCTCACCATTGGCGAGATCATCCTTCCTGACAGGGCAAAGCCCACTTGGGATTCTGTCTTTCTCCCTTTCTCTCTGCCCCTCCCCTGCTCACTCTCTCTCCCAAAATAAATAAATAAACTTTAAAAATAAATAAATAATAAAATGCATCGCCAGTGTCTTTTAGCTCCCTGGACCCCTGCTCAGTCCTACAGAACATTTCTCAAGTTCCATTTTCCCTGCCATCATCCCTCTCCAGAGTTTTGCAAAGACTTTCTGTTGTCACACAGGAGGCAATCATGTGGTATCCTGTTAATTCATTCTATCATGGGGTTAAAATCTTTCTGGAAAGAAAAGTTAGAAAACCTCTGTAGAGTAAGCATTCCAAATACTGCATCTAATTGACATAAATAGCTAACTCAGAATGAGCAAGTATAAGACTAGCACAGGTAATTGAAAAATGCCAATCTGTGAAATGATTGATTGAAAGCCAAATAGCTCTCAACTACTTTCTTGAACTACATTCGGGTGTATTTCCTAATTAAAGAGGAGTATGAATGACTTCATACCCTCTAGATATCATTCCCACATGCATCCGTAGCATATTTCAGCCAATATTATAACCACTTAAAGTTTATCCATATCTTCCTATCTATTCAATAATTTCTCAGGGCACCTGCATGGCTCAGTTGGTTAAGCATCCAACTCTTGATCTCAGCTCAGGTCATGATCTCACAGTTTGTGAGTTTGGGCTTCATATCAGGCTCTGTACTAACAGCACAGAGCCTGCTTGGGGTTCTCTCTCTCCCTCTCTGCCCCTCCTCCACCCTCTCTCTATATTATTAAAAAAATAATTTCTCAATGACCTTTGACAATAACCCTTTCCTCTGCTTATTTGATTGTCCTTACTAGTAAATAGTCATAGGACAGATGGATAAGACAATTTAGCAAGGTATGAGCTGCCTCACAATAGCATACTCTCATCCATAATCTGTTGGCATCTAATGCTTTTCACTCCCTAAGGCTCAGTTTAAATTCTATCCTTTCCAACTACCACTCTTTTGACAATTCTTTTTATTTTTTTCAAATTCCATAAACAGCTGTAGTCTCTATCACAATATCAGTAATTTGCATTCCTTCTTGCTTTGTTCCTTAAGTACTGAATGAGTGATTCCATTTATTTATAATCTATTGTTAACGCCTCTGAGGGTAGGCACTCAGTCTTAGGTTTCTTTCTACCTCCACAGAACTCTGATTATTATAGAAAACTCAGTGTATTAGTCTGCTCAGGCTATTATAACAACATACCACAGACTGTTATTTTGGCTTAAGCAACAAAAATTTATTTTTTTATATGTTTGAGAGGACGGATGTCCCAATTCAAGGTGCTGGAAAGTTCAGTTCTGGGGAAGCCTCTCCTCTTGGCTTGCAGATTGCTGCCTTCTCACTGTGTCCTCATGTGACCTTTCCTCTGTGCACAAGCAGAGAGAAAGAAAGAGAGAGAGGGAGACAGAGAGGGAGAGATCTGTCATCTGGTGTCTCTCCCTCTTCTATAAGGACAAGGGCACTAACAGGTTAGGGACCTACTCTGATGCCCTCATTTAAACCTAGCCAAAACATAGAAAGAGCCTAAGTGTCCATCAAAGGACGAATGGATCAAGAAGATGTGGTTTATCCATACGATGGAATACTGCATGGCAATGAGAAACAATGAAATCTGGCCATGTGTAGCAACATGGATGGACCTTGAGGGTGTTATGCTGAGCGAAATAAGTCAGGCAGAGAAGGACAGATACCATATGTTTGCATGTATAGGTGGATTAGGAGGAACTTAATGGAGGACCATGGGGGAGGAGAAGGGGAAAAATAGTTGGGGAGAGGGAGGGAGGCAACCCATGAAAGACTCTTGAATTCCAAGAACAAACTGAGGACTAATGGGGATGGTGTAGAGGGGAAGGGGGGTGATGGGCATGGAGGAGGGCACTTGTTGGGATGAGCATTGGGTGTTATATGGAAACCAACTTGACAATAAACTATTTAAGAAAAAATATATTAAAAATAATTTTTAAAAAACCTTCATTACCTCGCTAAAGCCTGTCACCAAATATAGTGTCACGGAGGTTAGAGCTTCAGTATATTAAATTGCCGGGGGGGAGAGGAGGCCAAGATTTAGTCTATAACACTCAGACTAGTACAAGTACTTATAGATTGGATAAGATATCAGAGCCTCGTGGACATTCTTTCTGAGCCGTCTCCTGTCTTCAGTCCTGGTTTGGACAACTGGTTTAGAAACATTGGGTCCGATTCTTCAAAGGAAACACTGACTTTTTAAGTTTTTAGAAATAAGTCAAGGAAAAGAGAAACTGAGGCTCAAAGAGGTAGTGTATAGTCTTCCTATAGCCACATAACTAGTAAGAAGCTAGGCTGGAATTAAAACTCACCTTGCCTTCAAGCATCCATTGTTTGAACCTCTGCCTCCCAGAGCAGAGAGAACCAGAGGGTGCTGCTAAATTCAGATTGGAGGGTCAATAATAAGAGACAGGGGTTAGTAAACATTTACTGGGACCATGGCCTTCCTATCACTACAAGGACGTACTCAGTGGGCTCATCTAGTAAATATGGAAGGGATTCATAAATCAGTGAAAGATTTCCACTTAATATTTTTACTGATATAATTATTTGAACCCTGACTTTAGCCAGTCACTGTATAAAACGTGAAATGGAACAAAGAAAAGTTACATGACTTACCCAGAAGCACAGAGGTAGAGCTGAGATCAAAACCCAGGTCTGTCTATAATATTTCAAAGTTTTGGCCTTTTCTCTATTCTCTGCTGTCCCCCTATATTTCTAGAAGTTGAAAAGTGAATGAATCATGTCTTCAAGATTGCAATATTCTTTTATCTTTTTATAAAAATATTTTTAATGTTTGTTTATTTTTGAGAGAGAGAGACAGAGTGCAAGCGGGAAGGGCAGAGAGAGAGGGAGACTCACAGAATTCGAAGCAGGCTCCAGGCTCTGAGCTGTGAGCACAGAGCCCAACGCAGGGCTCGAACCCACAAACCGTGAAATCATGACCCGAACCTAAGTCAGACACTTAACCGACTGAGCCATCCAGGCGCCCCTGCAATATTCTTTTAGAGACCAGTTTGTATCAGCACTACAGTGAATACTGAAGGGATATCGGGAGAACTTCAAACACAGGAGATAGAGAATCAAAATTCACTTGGAATGAAGATATTCAATAGATTCAATTATAATAGGCACTAACAAGCTTGTTGTTTCCCCTCATTTACTTGTAGAAGAGAATTCCTTCAAGAAGATCAGGAACAAACAGATCCAGATTCTACTCTGTGCTTCCACATCCCCACTTCTGCCTGAGAGTGAGACACCCTAGGATCCAAGAACGCAGAAACACCCAGCCAAACCCACCTCCACCATGGGGGCCGTGGTGATGCTGGCGGGTATCTTCTTAGCTTTGCTCACCCTCACCACCGAGGGCGGGGTCCTCAAGAAAGTCATCCGGCACAAGCGACAGAGTGGGGTGAACGTCACTCTGCCCGAGGAACACCAGCCGGTGGTGTTTAACCACGTCTACAACATCAAGCTGCCTGTAGGTTCCCAGTGCTCGGTGGATCTAGAATCAGCTAACGGGGAGAAAGACCTGGCCCCGCCGCCATTCGAGCCCAGCGAAAGCTTCCAGGAGCACACAGTAGACGGGGACAACCAGATCGTCTTCACACACCGCATCAACATCCCCCGGCGGGCCTGTGGCTGTGCCGCGGCTCCTGATGTCAAGGAGCTTCTGAGCAGACTGGAGGAGCTGGAGAATACGGTGTCTTCCCTGCGGGAGCTGTGCACCGCCGGAGCCGGCTGCTGCCTCCAGCCAGCCGAAGGTAGGCCCTACCCTCCCTGCCCAGGCCGGAGAGACGATGGGCGTGGCCAGATCCGTCACTGGTTTCCAAAGCAGGTTCCCTGGGGGACCTAGCCTCACAAAGGGTCCATTGGAAAGAGATTTTATGGTCAAATAAATGTGGAGAATGTAACTATCTCTCTTCTGCTCTTGGGGAGTCTTAATGATAAATGTTTCTCAGAGGAGTCTCTAGGCTTCTGAGAAGTCTTGCTTGGGAAAATCTTGTTTCATTTTAATGGCCAGTTTCTAAGACTTATTTGACCACAGGATCTACACATTCTCTAACCCAAAAGCTATGAGCATATTTATGAAATTTCTGTCCCAAGATCACTCCCTGAAAGGCGCTGATATGGCCCCCATCACCTTGTACAGGCATGGAGAGTAAGGTCCAGAAGGAGGATGGGATTCCTCAGGGCCCTGCCACCCGTGGCTGAGGTAGGACTTGAGCCACAGTATCCCACACCCTGGTGTTCTTACAAAGACACAGTGCTGCCTATGGTGGTACAAAGTCTGGGAATTGGAAAATAATCTTTCAGTTTAATGGCAACAACAATGACGATCACAATATGCATTGAGTCCCCTTTATGTATCAGGCATTGCAACTCATTATCTCATTGAACCCTCCCAACAACCCATTGAGGTGAGGTTTCATACTCCCATTCTACAGCTCTGACAACTAAGATTCAAAGAAGTTAACCAACTGGCACAAAAAGGGCACCAAGAGTAATAAGAGAGAGAAGCCTGAGTGTGCCTGTATGCTCCAGAACTCACACCACCCCCGTGATACCTAGTCTCCAGGGTATCCCCCTTTTCAGGAAACTTGCCACTTTGAAACTGTCTTCATCTCTACTCCCTAGAGCTGACAGAGCAATGGGACTTTTGGTAGCTTCAAATCAGAGCTGAACCTCTTTATTTCTGCCACTCAGAAGAAATTACCAGAAAGCACTTTTTTTTTATAGTTTATTGTCAAGTTGGTTTCATATAGCACCCAGTGCTCATCCCAACAAGTGCCCTCCTCCATGCCCATCACCCTCCTTCCCCTCACCCCCACTCCCCCCAGCCCTCAGTTTGTTCTACTTTGATAAGTTATTTCAAGAGTAGACCTAATTGAAGTGTCTGAATGGCTCAGTCAGTTAAGCATCTGACTCTTGATTTTGGCTCAGGTCTTGATCTCACAGTTCATGGGTTTGAACCCCATGTTGGGCTCTACACTGACAGCATGAATCCTGCTTGGGATTTTCTCTCTCTTTGCCCCTCTACCACTCATGATCATACTCTTTCTCTCTCTCTGTATCTCAAAATAAATGAATAAAACATTTTTAAAAAGTATAGGCCTAATCACCATAAGTGGAGGGCACTATAGGACATGCTCTAGGTTTCTAAGGCAAAAAAATTATTTCTTTATACACAAATTATTTTATATTCAATTTCTATCAACTCCCTGGCAAATGCAAATGTGAGTTACACAATAGGATTAATGCTAAAGACTGGGTTGAAATAATTATTTGGTCCAGTGCTGCCCACGAGAAATATAACATGAGCCAGATATGTATTCCTAACTCTTCCAGTCATCACACGAACGATATGAAAAAGGAACAGGTAAAAATAATTTTAATCAACTATTTTATTTAACTTGGTGTAACCAGATTATCCATTTTCAGCCTGGAATCAACACAAAAATTATTAATACCAAAAAAAGATATTTTATATTCCTTTCTTTAAGCTGTCTTTGAAATCCCATATATATTTAAGTTTTATGGCAAATCTCAACTCAGACTAGCCACCATTCAGTTGTTTAATACCCACACGTGTTTGGTGGCTACCATATATGAACACATATATTTAATTCCCACTTTTCAAACCATTTTATTAATTGCCTTGCTCCCTGCTGTTGGAAAGGAGATACAACGTAGCAATAAACTGTATTTGGGTGCAGAGAAAGGGGAGTGAGTTTGTTTCTTCTCTTTGGCTCCATGGAGACCTCACCAGCCACTCCTACCAGCTGAGCCAGGACATTATGTAGACTTCAAAGAGCTGGAGTCATGTCAGCCCTGACCGTGTATTCCTGAGATCCACTCACCACTGCAGGCTTTAGGATGGAGAGGGCAAAAGACAGAGGCACAAGAATGTTCTGGGGGCAGAGTCTGTCCATTCTATTGACAGAATTAAAAAGCCACTCCTGAGCCACCTCATTTCAGTTATGCAAAATTAGAACGTAAACCCACATACAAAATCACGAGAACAACAGTAGGTTTGTAATGGCCTCCCTTAATGCCGGTAAACCCCAGGGAAGTGGGTTATTATCCCGCTTGACCAATGAAGAAAGTAATCTTCAGATCATCTGACTCTCCTTCCAAATGCGGCACAGCAATTGAGCCAGAAGCAGAATTGAGTTCAGTTCAACAAATATTTCTTGTGTGAAACAATTATTCCCTTATGTGCCTGACCTTGGCTAGGTGCGGGAAAATACCATAGCCCAGCATAACTCATTCCACAAGGCACTGGTTTGTACTCACTGGGATGATGGGAATACTTAAAAATTCGATACAAACTATAGACCCTCTCCCTGGGAGGGCGGAAACACAAACACACACATACACACATACACACAGCTACACACAGTAACACAATCTTGCATATGAGTCTACAATTTCAGGGAGTACAGGTTAAGAATTTGTACCTACTCTAACTGGATGTCAGTCCCCTCCGATTTCACACACTAAGCAACTAGATTTCAAGCCAGATGGAGCTGAGAGTGCCAACCCTCTTCTGGCTGAATTTGAGGCTGGGTTTGGGCAGGTGGCGCCCGGGACACCAGCCCGTTACGCTCAGCGGCCTGCCTCTTCTCTTTTGCTGTAGGCCGCCTGGACACCAGGCCCTTCTGCAGTGGCCACGGGAACTTCAGCACCGAAGGATGCGGCTGTGTTTGCGAGCCCGGCTGGAAAGGCCCCAACTGCTCTGAGCCTGAATGTCCAGGCAACTGTCACCTGCGGGGCCAGTGCCTTGACGGGCAGTGCGTCTGCGAGGAGGGCTTCACGGGAGAGGACTGCAGCCAGCTGGCCTGTCCCAGTGACTGCAACGACCAGGGGAAGTGCGTCAGCGGCGTGTGTGTGTGCTTCGAAGGCTACACGGGGGCCGACTGCAGCCAGGAGGTGTGCCCGGTGCCGTGCAGCGAGGAGCACGGCCGGTGCGTGGACGGCCGGTGCGTGTGCCACGACGGCTTTGCGGGCGACGACTGCAACGAGCCGCTGTGCCTCAACAACTGCTACAACCGCGGCCGGTGCGTGGAGAACGAGTGCGTCTGCGACGAGGGCTTCACGGGCGAGGACTGCGGCGAGCTCATCTGCCCCAACGACTGCTTCGACAGGGGCCGCTGTGTCAACGGCACCTGCTACTGTGAGCAGGGCTTCTCGGGCGAGGACTGCGGCCAGCTCAGCTGCCCCAACGCCTGCACCGGCCGGGGCCGCTGCGAGCAGGGCCAGTGCGTGTGCGAGCCGGGCTTCGCCGGGGCCGACTGCAGCGAGAAGAGGTGTCCCGCCGACTGTCACCACCGCGGCCGCTGCGTCGACGGGCGGTGTGAGTGTGATGACGGCTACACGGGCGCCGACTGCGGCGAGCTCAGGTGTCCCAACGGCTGCAGCGGCCACGGCCGCTGCGTCAACGGGCAGTGCGTGTGCGACGAGGGCCACACGGGGGAGGACTGCGGCCAGCGGCGGTGCCCCAACGACTGTCACAGCCGGGGCCGCTGCGTGCAGGGCGAGTGTGTGTGTGAGCACGGCTTCCAGGGCTCCGACTGCAGTGAGATGAGCTGTCCCAACGACTGCCACCGGCACGGCCGCTGCGTGAACGGCATGTGCGTCTGTGACGACGGCTACACGGGCGAAGACTGCCGCGACCTGCGCTGCCCCAGGGACTGCAGCCACCGGGGCCGCTGCGTGGACGGACGGTGCGAGTGCGAGCACGGCTTCACGGGCCCCGACTGCGCGGAGCTCGCGTGCCCGGGCAACTGCCACGGCCAAGGCCGCTGCGTCAACGGGCAGTGCGTGTGCCACGAAGGCTTCATGGGCACGGCCTGCAAGGAGCGGAGGTGTCCCGAAGACTGTCATGGCCGGGGCCGCTGCGAGGACGGGCAGTGCGTGTGCCAGGAGGGCTTCGAGGGCCCGGACTGCGGGCAGCGCTCCTGCCCCAACGACTGCAGCGGCTGGGGGCAGTGCGTGGAGGGCCGCTGCATCTGCAGCGACGGCCATGCCGGGGAGGACTGCTCCGAGGGTGAGTCCGGGTCTGAACCGGCGTGGCGTCGAGGGTGCGGCTGCAGCGCGTTGGAGAGCTACCTGTTGTATTACGCATGCGCGCGTGCACAGCCACACGCATGCGCACAGCCACACGCTTGCGCACAGGCACATGCATGCGCACAGGCACACGCATGCGCACGCGCACACACAGCTTTGCAGAGGCTCTGATGATTCATCTGTCACGGGGCTACCTATTTGAAGGCTCAGAGGCTCAGGGAGGTCGTAGAATTGTCCTAAGGACACCTTCTTCATACACGGTAGAGGTGTTGGGTTTACCTAACTCATCTACCCCAAGTTTAACACCCAGTGCCCATGGTGAGATAGACAAAATGATTTTAACAGCCCTTTTGCTAAATATGAGCCTTCTCTCCTACTGCCCCACTGACGCCTAACCAGAAATAAACTAAATCCCTCTATTTGTTTGGAAGCAAAAATTCAGCTCAATTGAATGGACAGTGAGATTACATAAAACTGTTTTAAATGCACCCTCAGCTAGAGAGTAAGTGCTAATCACTTTTGAGGCAGACCCATCTCTTAAATCATTATTCCATAACAATCTTTGATCCTAAGGATTATGAGCTCCTTAAAGGAACACTGTCCTGACAGCACAAGGCAAAGTATACAGTAAGTGCTCAAGAAACTATGAGTGAAAATACGACAAAGAATGATAATGCTCATATTCAATGAGGGGGCTCTTTGTACCCCTCTCCTGCACCCATTCTGTACCTGTCATAATAGAAATTTTCTGCTCTGATTAAAGGTATTGTTGATATTAATAAATAAATATGTTTAATGTGCCCAAGGCAGGGAACCCTGGTTGAAAAGTACAGCAGGCTGGCAAAGACGAGGTGTTAGTCTCAAGTCTGGTGAGATAAGCAAATTTGGGCAAGTCCCTCTGCCTCACTCACATCTAGAAAATGAAAGAATTGGACCAAATGAGCCCCAGATCCCCTTCCAGCGCTAACAGCATATGACCTCAAGTTCAGAGCAGGGAGCCAAGCTCAGGCTGCACGTCTCCATGCAGCTGGCCTGAATCTGAACTAACATCCAGAGAACAGAGAATTCAGAGGGGCCAGGTCACAGAGAAACCAGAAGGCCACGTTGCAGGCCCAGAATTTTAGCCTGAAGGCCTACAAAGGTTTTAAAGTTGGTTCACAGCAGGGAGTCCTAGAGGATCTTTTTCTGTTTAGAAAGCAGAAGCTGGATTTCAGGCCTCTGTGATTGGCCGTGGGATTCCAGGGAAACAAACCTAGAGAGAATTTACAGAGCACCTCACTGACAAAACCCCACCAAGCTGTCTTTTCTTATTCCTGCCAGTGCCCCCTCCCAAAGACCTGGTTGTGACAGAAGTGACAGAGGAGACCGTGAACCTGGCTTGGGACAATGAGATGCGGGTCACCGAGTACCTCGTCGTGTACACACCCACCCACGAGGATGGCCTGGAAATGCAGTTCCGAGTGCCCGGGGACCAGACGTCCACCACCATTCGGGAGTTGGAGCCTGGCGTGGAGTACTTTATCCGTGTGTTCGCCATCCTGGAAAACAAGAAGAGCATTCCCGTCAGCGCCAGGGTGGCCACTTGTGAGTGAGCAGAGCCCACCCCACCTGCGACAGCCTCTGCTACTGTCTGCTCGCCCAGCGCCTAAGCACCACACCCATGAGTTCCGGCTCTGCCTTTGTGCTCATAGCTGTAGAGCTGGCCTGTCAGAGTTACACCAGTTAAGACCCTGGGATCCAGTTAGGCCCACTGAATATTTTTTAAAGAAACCCTTCATATACTAAATCACTTCACTCACAATAATTCTATAAGATGGGGGCAACTATTAATCCATTTTACAGATGAGGAAACTGAGACTGAATGGCTAAGCGTCTCATCCCAAATCAGACAGTTCCTCAGTGGTAGGGATTTAAACCCTGAGGTCTGGTTGGAGGTTAATACTCTTAACCATTCTATTCTACTACAACCCTTCTATGGAGCTCACTCTTCTTATGTGTTTTTTTTTTTTTTTAATTTTTGTAGTTTATTTTTGAGACAGAGAGAGACAGAGCATGAGTGGGGGAGGGGCAGAGAGAGAGAGGGAGACACAGAATCCTAAACAGGCTCCAGGCTCTGAGTTGTCAGCACAGAGCCCGATGCGGAGCTGGAACCCACAAACCATGAGATCTGACCTAAGCCAAAGTTGGACGCCCAACCGACTGAGCCACCCAGGTGCCCCTCTCCTTATATGTTTTTAAAAAGTGGAAACTTTACAGTTCAGGTTATTTTTTTAATAATCCAATATCAGTATAATTACCTTCATACCTTAAAAGCAAGTTGTGGCTAGAAATTGGTCCTTTTCTTCACTCAGTAATAATAACATTGGCTGCCACATATTAAACATGTGCCCTGTGCCAGGAGCCATGCCCAGCAGTCCACGTGATGCAGTATATCACTCAGTCCTCACTTAGTTCTCCGAAAGGAACAGGCCTACTTACCTCCCCTTTTGAGTAGAGAAGCTGGGGCATGAGGCTCATCATGCAACTTGCTCACACACACAAAACTTGTAATAGTGAGGCTTGGGTTTGAGCCCTTGTTTGTCTGATTCTAAACCCTGGTACAAAAGAGCTTTACCCATATGAAATTGCCAAGGTTTAATCATACGGTGGGTCCCAACGTTAATTTTCATGCCACCTCCTCAGTAGACAGCATCCCTGAAGCAGTTAGAGGTAGACTCCAGCCCTAAAGGGGTGGGACATCGGCCAGCGGGGTGCAGGGGAATCATGCAGCATCACTCCACACATACACACACATGCAGCCCTCCTTCTTCTGCTCTTCCTGACAGACTTGCCTGCACCTGAAGGCCTAAAGTTCAAGTCCATCAAGGAGACATCTGTGGAGGTGGAGTGGGATCCTCTGGACATTGCTTTTGAGACATGGGAGATCATCTTCCGGAATATGGTAAGGCACCCAGAGCAGTGGGCATATTTGACCTCAGGGATCTGAAAGATGGTCTGAGGGCTCTACAGACTTTTATATCAACTTTATTCTCTTAGCTGCTGGTGAGGGGCAAGGCTGTGCTTAGCCCCTGCATGTTTGTATGTATATTTTAAGTTATTTTAACAAGTCAGTAAGCTGACTTATTAAAATAGGGCTGTGAGCTCGGAGAGGTGCTAAGCCATCTTTAGGTTCCCTTTGCTCCTCATGGTCTGGAAAATCTCAGAGGCAAAGAAGAGAAGAAATGGCTGTCTCCAAATGCCCTCAGGCATATCTGAGGTTGAGTATCCCTTCTCTCTGGGCCTAAAAGCACGTACGAGGCAGGGAAGTGAGTTCCTGAGTCCAAGCCCAGGCTCTGCCACTAACTAACCACATGACTATGGGATAGCCATCCAACTTCTGTGACGCTGGTTTCTTGATCTATCAAAGGAAGGATTGAGTTTGTGGCTCTAGAACTGCCCTGGCTCTCACATTTTATCACTCGACTTTGGTGTCAGTGGAGTGAGCAGATTGGTTTACAAGAGGGAGAAGCAAACTTAAGGAATGTCCTCATCACTTCTGTGTCCTCAGCACCCGCCAAGCTGGTCTAATGCATAGTGAGTGCTTAGTGAGGGAACGGATGCAGAGGAGCAGATCACAAAAAAGAAGAGGCTGGTGCTTCTTTTAGTTCTTTTTTTTTTTTTTAATGTTTATTTATTTTTTAGAGAAACAGAGTGCAAGCAAGGGAGGGGCAAGAGATAGAGGGAGTCACAGAATCCAAAGCAGGCTCCAGGCTCTGAGCTGAGCTGTCAGCCCAGAGCCCAACACGGGTTTCAAACACAGGAACAGTGAGATCGTGACCTGAGCCAAAGTCAGACACTTTAACCCACTGAGCCACCCAGGCACCCCCCTCCTTTAGTTCTTACCAAGGTGCTCCTTTCTTTCAGAATAAAGAAGATGAGGGAGAGATCACCAAAAGCCTGAGGAGACCAGAGACCACATACCAGCAAACTGGCCTTGCTCCTGGGCAAGAGTATGAGATCTCTCTGCACATCGTGAAAAACAATACCCGGGGCCCAGGCCTGAAGAGGGTAACCACTACCCGTGAGTATCACCTTTATAGCACTGACACCTTGGCAAGGCTGACTGTACCCTGTAGCGCCTCTGGCTGATAACATTTCCCCTTACACAGCATCTGCATTAACTAGATTTTGCTACATAAAGAACAGACCCCAAACTTGGTGTTGTGGAACAATGATTCTGCACCAATCATTCACCAGTGATTCTGGGTGATTTGGGGTTGGGCTCAGGTGAGCAATTCTGTTCTTGAGTGGGCACAGTTACGCATCTGTGCGGGCTGGGGGCTGGTTGGCCTATGTTGGTCTTAGCCAGGGTGATGCCTTTCTGCTTCACTTGGTCTCTAGCCTCAGTCTGCTAACCTGGGCCTGCTCCCCTGGCAGCCGGGCTGGCTCAAGAGTGGCTCTATATCACTCTGCCCAAGCAAATCTCGAGGCCAGTCCAGATTTAAAGAGTGGGGAAACAAATCTATCTCTTGATGAGATGAGGCTCAAAGTGACATTTCAAAGGGGGCACAGGTCCAAGATAGACAAGACCATTGCAGATGATCTACCATGTCATCTCATCTGTATACCAGTCTTGTAAGAGATGTGGGTCAAATATTATTGTGACTAGTAGAAACTGAGGCTTAGTGAATCTAAATCAATTTGACAAACTCCACATGGTGAACAATATCAGCGTCACAACCCTAAGGAAGGTCCAGTTTTGTAATCTTAGTCCCCTTACCACTAGCATGGACTAGGCTCTGGTTAATATAGAATGCTGATCCCATATCTCCAACAGGAATAGAAATTAAATGTCACTCAGTAATAAACATGTCAGAGCTTCTTGGGGATTGAATAGAATTTGGCACTGGTAGATCCTCTGGTGAGCAGGAAATAAATCTGAATCTGGAGTTGTTCTACCGAGGAGCAAATTTTTTAAACATCAATAAATAAACAAATAAAATTATTTTGCTTTGCCATTTGAGAAAACCTCTTGATCTTCTTCAAGATAGCATATGTGCCAACTGTTTCAGGAATTGATTCTTTTTGGCAGGAGATTGTTGGAAAAGTTAAATCTGTTGACTAATGACAAGAAAAAACATCTTGCATTTAAATATTTGCACATTCTGCCTAGCTCCGAGCCAACTCCTAGATTGTCTCCTCTGTAAGCAAGTGTTTTCCATCATTCTGACACCATCCCTCTGTGGTAGGTAGAAAGCAGGTATCAACAGGAAAAAATCATTAGATCACCACAAAGGCATAGAAGAGATCAAACAAATGCTCACTTGCTATAGAGAAGGCACACAGAAACTACAGAAAAGAAAAATTTCTTTTATCTGCCCCTTTCTTTTTAATTTAATTCTGCAGATTGGCTTCTTTATTCTTCTAAGCAGGGCAAACATCCCAATGCCTGAAGTTCCTTAATCACATAAATATCAACATTGAGAGGCCAACGTTTATGTGTTCATTTTGCTAATACCCAAACTTTATCCAGGCTTAAAGGACATTAAAGTTTGGGTGACAAAACATTTTTGGCTCCTTCCCTCTGATATCTGTATAAGGCTGTATGACAACCATTTCTGGCATCTGGATGCTTTTGAGAGGCGTTCGCATTTAAAGGAGAAAGAGCACGGGCTTTGGACCCACACACACCCAAGTGTGAATTCCAGCTTCACAGCTCACCTTCACCTTGTGCAAATCTGCTTCTTTAATGACCCTACCATTGGGAAAATGGGTTCCCAGTGTCCTTACAGCATTGTCACGAAAGTGAAGATGTACATGATAAAGCACTCTCCTTGCCGTGTTTAAGTGCTAGTGTCTTCTGTTCACAGGACCCAGATCTGGGGGTCGATCAGTGAGCTTGACTCAATCCCACCTTTATGAAAGGGCTGCTACGGACGGTAGCAGTTGTGGTGTGGGTGATTGCTGCCACCTGTAGCAACACAGGACAGGTAGCTTCAGGGTTCAATTGTAGCTTCATTATGGTACGTTCTATGGGTTCATCACCCAGAAACTGAGACTGATAGACCAATACTTCAAATTCAAGTAATGGACTCTGCAGTTTTCTCACAATCAGCTATGACTTACTCCTCCTTCTCATTCCTATATAAAACTAATGTTCCTTTCATTCAGTACTGTTTCCTCAACCAATGCTGAAAACACAAACTTAGCTGTTTTTAAATTGAAGAAATAAACACTAACTAAATGCCCCAATATCTTAATTTTAGGCATTTACCGAAGGCCCAGTCTGTCTTACTGTTTGCATTAAAATGGTTTACATAATGAGAAAAAGAAAAGAATGAAGACATAAATGACAAAGCCTGCCGCTATGCTGGGGATTAAAAGGGTTCAAAGTCTCACTCTCTAAATGAATGAATTTAGATCCTATCTAAATTGAATAACACAGTTTGAATAAACTGTAGAGAAATGTGTTACAGAACAATGAAAAAAGTGCATTAGGAGACTCCAATTTTTAATTGCAGTAAGAGTGCTTAGAATGAGGTCTACCCTCTTCATGAGTTGTACTTCATAAGTATATGTACTTCATGTACTTTGTAAGTCAAGTGTACAATACAGTATTGTCACCTAGAGGCACTGTGTTGTCCAGCACATCTCTTGGACTTACTCATCTTGTATTACTCAAACTTTATACTCGTTGGGAAGGGTATATGTGCTTACTTGATTACAGCAGGGTCAAAGAGGGCTCTCGTTGGGAAGGGACATATAAGTGAGGTTTTGAAGGCTGATAGGAGATTTTTTAGAAGAGAAGGGCAATGTCAGGAAAAGATAGAAAGTAACAGCAAATGCAGAGGCCAGGAGGCGATGTCATGCCTGCTGCTGCCACAGAACAACACAACACACACAGCACAGCACGGCACAGAGTGGGTGGGGTGGGAGGAGGGCTGGGACAGAGGCACAAAGATGGCAAGGCTTGGGATGGCTGTGACTTTCTGCCTGAAGTTTTTCATCACAAGTGACACTCCATACCTGGCCAATCTAGGAGTGGCCTCACTTTTCGGCTCCATAACTCTAATGGAGAAGCTATCAACCAACCAGGCAGTTTTGCCTAATTAAAAAGCCAGAGAAACTAAATCAATGTCTTTTTTTTTTTTTTTTCTAATGAAATAGGCCCCAAGCATCTTTCTTCAACTTATGAGAACCGTATGATGATAATAACAGGGCAACGACCATTTATCACATAACTGCCATGTTCCAGGCTCTATGCTAGATGCTTTGCAAGCATTATCTCCTTTAATGTGGGGGGTGGGGGGACCCAATAAACGCTTCAAGGTAGCTAGCATCATCCCTATTTATGGCTTGTCAAATAGGAAATCAAGACTCAGAAACACAAAAAAGGTCAGATGGTCAGTATACACCTAACCGTTCAGGAATGGATCTGGATGCCTCCAAGCCCCTCTCTGCTCAGCCCCTAGCCCTGGCCCTAGTCTCTGAAACTGCTCCATCATCTGCTGTCACAGGTTTGGATGCCCCCAGCCAGATCGAGGTGAAAGATGTCACAGACACCACTGCTCTGATCACTTGGTTCAAGCCCCTGGCCGAGATTGACGGCATCGAGCTCTCCTATGGAATCAAAGATGTGCCGGGCGACCGCACCACCATTGACCTCACACACGATGAGAACCAATATTCCATCGGGAATCTGAAACCAGACACGGAGTATGAGGTGTCCCTCATCTCCCGCAGGGGTGACATGTCCAGCAACCCTGCCAAAGAGACCTTCACAACAGGTAACGGGCCCTCACCTGTGAACAACCAGGAAGGGATTGTGACTCCATGCTAGGGTGGCTTCCAGGCTCCTTTTACAGTAGGACAATGGAAAGGGAAATTTGATTCCTTTAAGTGTTTATTCTAAAATATTATAGAGAGTAATTTTTTTAAAGAAAAAAACTACCTAAATAACCTCCCTCCACCCAAAAAATAAAAAGAAAGAAAGAAAGCATACGTAGAAGATGCTGCTTGTCTGACAATCTCAGAAAAAGAAGGTGTGGTTCAAATAAAATTCAAGTAAACATTTTCATAATAAAGTACAGTTTATGGAAAGCATGAAAAACAAAGAGGCCTGTAACCTCTTAGCCTATGGCAGTCTTTTAAAAGCCCCAAGGTGTCAATCGATCATTGATTCAATAAATACTGTTTTCGGACCACAGTAAGCTCTGTATGAGTTACTAGAAATACAGAGATGGGCACAACACACCAGTTCTTACACTCACAGATCTTATTTGTAAGTTTCCATTTTGTTTTGTTTTTCAAAGCACAAAATCTGAGGAACACATGCCTGACTAGAGTCTCACATGCATCAATAAAGGGGAAAGGTGCCCAATATGCAGTATTTGTTTAGACCTGTGCATCAGCAATAGAGGTGGGTGTGGGGCAGATATTGTTGTTTTTTTCTCCAAGGACAGGTGCCTTTCAAGTCTCAGCCTGAATCATCAGACACCCACTCTCCTGGTGCCTGGTGTTTGCAACATAAATGTCCCTTCCTCCTCCAAACAGGCCTGGATGCTCCCAGGAATCTCCGTCGCGTCTCCCAGACGGACAACAGCATCACCCTGGAATGGAGGAACGGCAAGGCAGCTGTTGACAGTTACAGAATTAAGTATGCACCCATCTCTGGAGGTGACCATGCCGAGGTCGAAGTGCCAAGGAGCCCGCAAACCACAACCAAAACCACGCTCACGGGTGAGCCGCGCATCCCAGACCCAGCAGGCCCACGGGGCACATGTCCCCAGTTTGCAGCCTTCCCTCCTCGTGGAGAAAACAGTGTGGTTCCCAGCTACCCCTCTCACTCAGAATTCAGTGAGGAAGTCTGTAGAACATACCAGACACTGCCAGACAATGAGAAATCACAGCCTCCAGCAACAGGCAGCTCGGAGTCATTTTTACGATCCTCTGAAATTCTTTCCAGTTTGGGGCTAAGTATCGACCTGCACGTTCTCTCTTAGGTCTGAGGCCGGGAACTGAATATGGGATTGGAGTGTCTGCTGTGAAGGGCGACAAGGAGAGCGACCCGGCCACCATCAATGTGGCCACAGGTGAGATGCCCCTAGATCCCCACCACCGCTGGGCTGGTGCAGACAGACACGCTGGGGCCCAGGAGACAGAAAACCTACTTTGAAAAAAACAGTAGACGTGCAGAGGAGAAAGAGGCCCCTAGGATCATCTAGCCCAGATGTGTAATTCCAAAGTAACATAAGGGCACCACATCTAAATGATACTGAGGGGAAACAAGAAATTTTTAGGAGAAATTGGAACCAGATTTTATAAGAAGCCTGCAAACTTTTTTAAGTTGGTAATCAGTTCCTTTTTTTTTTTTTTTTTTCTTTTTTGGTAAACCATGGACGAATCCAAACACATCTGGGGGGTTTTCTCTTAGGAGACACCTGAGTTTTATTATATACCCTCGTCTGACAGATGATAAGTGGCAGGAACATGGTTTCAGACAGAATTTGCTCTTATCCATTCCGTCCTGAAGCTCCAGCCTCTGGACGAGGGTGGTGAGGAGCGGTATGATATGAACCCATTGGTTCCTGTCCCAAGTTTCTCCCGACCCTGGAAAATTTGTCTAAGAAAGAAAGAGAGAGAGAGTAAGAGAGAAAGAAAGAGAGAGAGAGAGAGAGAGAGAGAGAGAAAGGGAGGGAGGGAGGGAGAGAGAGAGAGAGAGAGNGAGAAAGAAAGAAAGAAAGAAAGAAAGAAAGAAAGAAAGAAAGAAAGAAAGAAAGAAAGAAAAAGAAAGAAAAAAGAAAACTCTTCCCTCTACTTCTCCACCAGCCTCCTCCTTCCTTCCCCCAGGCGCCGTGAAGAAAAAGGGTCTGGTGCACATAGAGAACATAGATGGTGCCTCAAGGAGCTTCCTCCTTATGCAGGACCCAGTGCTAAGCACTTGCACACATGCTCTTTTTTATCTGTTTTATTTCGAGGTAATTGTCAATTCATGATCCCCAGTGGTTAACAGCTGGGACATCCTAGAACAGTATCACAACCAGGAAACTGACATTGATACAAGCTATCAACTTTATCAACGGCGCATTTCATCAGTTTTACATGCACTCACTTTTGTATGTGTGTGTAGTTAGTTCTACGTAATTTTATCAGCAGCTTTTTTAATCTGCTGTCTTTTAAGACACAAAATAGTTCCATCACTAGGATCGCTTCTGTCCCCTCTTTTATAGCCACAGGCACCCCTATTCTTTCCTTCATCTCTGTAGTGTTTTTTAAGAATGCTACATATCGCCCAGTAGGCAGCCTACTGAGACTGTTATTTAAAAGTTATTCCGGTTATTTAAAAGTCAGTTCTTTTTAGATGCTTTTAATTGAGTAGTACTTCAGGGTATGGATATACCACTATATTCTTTTTAATCTTCTAAAACTCCAACGAGGCAACACTCCATGGCAGTTTAGAGGTGAAAACCCAGGCTCAGATGGGAAAGTCGCCTGCAGCCAGCCAGCCCTGTGTGCAGAGCTGGGATTGGAGCCCAGAGCTGCCTTCCAGCCCCATAAGCAGCCCAGCCTCCCAGCCTGAGGCATGTTCATCTCTCTGTGCTTTCCTCGCAGACATGGATGCACCCAAGGACCTCCGGGTCTCTGAAACCACGGAGACCAACCTGACCCTGCTCTGGAGGAAGCCTTCGGCCAAGTTTGACCACTACCGCCTCAACTACAGCCTTCCCTCGGGGCAGCCTGTGCAGGTACAGCTTCCGAGAGACACCACATCCCACGTCCTGAGAGGCCTGGTACCGGGGCAGGAGTACACCATCCTCCTCACGGCGGAGAAGGGCAGGCACAAGAGCAAGCCCGCGCGGGTGAAGGCGTCCACAGGTGAGGTCAGCCTCTGAGCTCCTTCCAGAGCCTCTGGTGATCCTGAGGTTTGCAGACCCGCAAGTCGGGCTGTCTGGGTAAGGGAAGCCAAGTGAGAAAACACACAACTTTCTCTACTTGTGCATCCTCGATGTGACCCTGTGAAGGAGCAAGGAGCTCCTTCCTCCTTTCTTTTCTCTGTCAGCTGATTCAGCAAAGTCTTCCTGCTGGGAAATCACTAGTGCTTGTTAAATAGTTCTTCCCGGGAGAACTTAAAGCCTCAGGGTTTGTGTTTGTCTTAGTTCTTTTTTTTTTTTTTCCTAATTAATTTGGTGCGTTTTACAGACTCTTTAAATTGTTTCTGGTCTTTTTGTCTCCCTCCTCTTTAGCCTAATGATAACTTACTTTGCACTTTATTTTTTTTTTCAAGATGGTCCTGATGCTGGTAATAATTCTTTAGTTATTTCTCACTAAATTTTTTAAACTTATTTATCATTATTGTTTTTAGTAATCTCTACACCCAACGTGGGGCTCGAACTCATGAAGTCGATAGTCCCACGCTCCACTGACTGAGCCAGCCAGCCGCCCCTCCCACTAAATGTTTTCATTCCAGGTTTTTTGCTTTCCTCTAAGGTTACCTGGAAATTTGTGTGTGGTCCTGTGAGCCGCCTTTCACAGCGCCCTTCCCGTTTTCTCTTTTCTCCTAGTCTTTAAGAGGCGAACTTGGTTTGCTAAATCCTGACCTCCAGTGTCCCTTCTAGCCCAGTTGTGCTTTTCTTTCTACCTGCTGCCACATTTCCTCAGGGGCCAAGTTGAAAAACCAATCAGAGAAAAAAAAAAAACCATTCTTCCTATTTGAAAAATATGTGCCTGTAATTTTGGCCTCAAACGTTTCAAGAGGAATAGGCGGAAATGTTAATTCTACAGGGCTTGAAAGTAATATTTGTTAGTCTTGATTTAAATAGTATTTATCTAGAACCCACTGAATACTCAGTATTGTGCTGATATTGAGGGACAAATGGGTCACGTACTTACCATTGTTATTTTCACTTATGGGCTCCTGCTCACTGTCTGTGGGGAAGACTAGGTAGAATGTTAGATGGAACGCAGTCAAGGAAATGGGATGGATGGGAGAACCAGGGGTATTCAGAGAAAGTTTTAGGGCAGAAATATTACTCCAACTCAATCTCGAAAAGCAGAAAAGGGATTGTAATGATGGGCAAACTTGGAAATGCCTTGAAGAGTCTTTGTCATTTATGAATGAATAGCTTTACCTGCGTAAACAGAGAACTCAAACAGCAGTCCCTTAAGTGAAACAGAAATTGATTTCTTCTCTTACAAGATAAATCTGAGGCTAGGTGGTTCAGGTATGGCATAGCAGGTCTAAGTTATCAGGGACTTGGGTTTCTTCTCCATTTTTGTTCCACCCTTCTTAGTACTTGGCTCCATTACTAGAGTCACTTTCATGCCACATTATGGCTGCTGCAGTACAGCCTTCACATCTGTGTTCTGGACAGTATGAAGGAGGAAGAACGAAAACCAAAAGGGAGTGCCTCCTAGATGAAGCTTTCTGGAAACCTTACTGTTGACTTCTCTTATTTCATGGGCCACTCCTAGGTATAAGCAAGTCTAGAAGAGCTAGTCTTTTGTCTCAGCATGTTGTGGCCCACATAAAACTGTGGGAGAGAGAAAGGATATTTGGTAGACAAAGATCAGCCTCCTCATAGAGTCTAAAGTGAGCTCAGGTGGTCAATACTGTTGACTCTGTGCATGTACTACTTCCCACCCAGGTTTGTGATGATCATTAAGGATGCCTTGGGGAGACAGTTTAATCCTAGAGAAGGGAAGGGCAAAATAGAATCCAAAAGAAATAATTCTATGGTAGAGATTTGAATGTTTCAGATTTATAGACATGAACTTGTCATGAGGTGCCAAGAGACAGCAAGTGAATCAGAAAAACAGGAGAGAAGGCATTTCTTTCTCTCCTTTTTTCTTCTTCCTCTCTTTCTCCTCTTCTCTTCTTCTTCTTCTTCTTCTTCTTCTTCTTCTTCTTCTTCTTCTTCTTCTTCTTCTTCTTCTCTCTCTCCTTCCCCTCACTTTTTGCCTTTCCTTGGTTTGACAAATGCTGTATCAAAAAGCTTCCCATCTCCACTCAATTATTACCCCCTGGCTGGGGCTAGGTTATCTCCTGTCTCCAGTGGGGAAGCCCCAGGCCTCAGCAGCTCAGGAAGATGAAAGCTTTTACGTGAACCACAGGCTGGAATTACTTTGTCTCTGACTAAGAGCCCAGTTTTGGCATTCCAAAGGCCCATTGGTTTCATTTCCCCAGCCATGCATCCTTAACAGAGTTTCCAAAAAATCATGTTGTCTATTTAAAGACGTCCTTCATTTTAGGAAAAGTGGGCAAAGTTCCTTTTATTGGCTCTTCCTCCACAATCTCCAGAATATTGTTCCCTATAGCTTTCTCTAAAGAACAGTTTTATTTTGTTAAAAGTGAGGTGGGTCTTTCTTTCCATCTCTTGAAGTCTATCTTTCAAGTCTCCTACATTTACTCAATCAATAAGGTACTGCCACTGAGCTCCATGAGTTATGTTCTGTGGTCACTGGATCAGTTAGGATATATGTGTGCTTCCAAGGAACTTGCTGATAAACAGATTGATAGACAACGACACGACACCCCACTTGCTAGTGTTGGGGGTAAGGAGGTTGTAGCAGAAGCACACAGTGACTCCTGGGCATCAGGAAAGGCTTAACATGGGGAGAAGCTTTTGCACAGACCCATAAAGGCCAACAGGACTGGGCTGTGGAGTACGTGTAAGTCCGAGTATAGGCCCTTGGCCTTGTCCATATGGGAAGAAAATATATATGGAAAGAAAAAAGAAACAGATAAAGCGGGTGCATTTGGGCAAGTGTTCCATGTGGCTGTGAGTCTCAAAATGTCAAAAGGGCTTCAGGCTCAAATCTCAGAAGAAAGGAACTCCCAGTTCTGCATCATAGACTTCTGAAGAGTGGAAGTCTGAAGTGCCATTCATTACCTGTGCATTTTACGGGGACATGGAATTGGCTGCCCCTAAAGCACTTTCTCCCAGGGAATTCCGGAGCTCTAGTCATGGAATTGATGCAGCACCAAATTAAAAGTGTGCAAAAGCTCGCGGCCGGTCCAAGGACCCAACCACAGCCCACAGGGCCCTACAGAATCTGGCCCTTCCAGTCTCTCCAACCTCATTCCCACCATTTCTCCCTTATTTATTTCACCATGGTCACCCTGGCCTTCCCTCTGTTCTTTGAGTATCCCAAGTCTGCTCCTACCTTAGGGCATTTGCACAGGCTATTTCTGTTGCCTGAATGCCATTCCTCTCCCTGTTATTCATGGGCATCTCCCTCATTTTATTCAGCCCAAGTGTCATCTCAGTAGACTTCTCTGAAATCATGTTCACATCCTGATTTGCCCCTTCATGCTGCCCAGGATTCCTCATGGCACTTGCCTGGCCTGATATTATTCACTAGTTCATTTATTTGCCTATGACCTGCCTCCTACTACCTACCAGAATGTAAAGACTCTGTTTCCTTTTATCCGGTGCTACGTCCTCAGTGCCTTAGACACAGCCAAGCACATGGCATTCACTTCATGAGCATTTAGGGACCCCAGCTACTCCAAAGGGGTAGTGTTTCCATTGAACCTCTTGGTCTTTTCCTTCCATCTCTGCATTAACAGCCCAAAAGCCATCTCTTTAGGATTAAGGGAAAGGAAGCTATTCTGTTGTCTTCAATTAAGGTTACTCTGGATAGAAAAGGAAAGAAAGAAAAAGAGAGAGAAAGGGAAGGGATGATAAAGGAAAGGAGGGAGGGGGAGAGAGAGAAAGAGAAAGGATAAAAAGAGAGAGAGGGAGGAAGGAAAGAAGGTTGGAAGGAAAGAAGGAAGGAAGAACAGAAGAGAGGGAGGGAAGAAGGAAGGAAGACAGAGAGAGAGGGAGAGAATGAGGGAGAGGGAGAGAGGGATGTAGGAAGGAAGAGAGAGGAAGAGAAAGCTACTATCCCTGTTAGGGTTGAAGGAAATTAGTGTGTTCAAGGCCTCTCCTCCCTGCCCCACCCCACATTTATATTCTTATAAACTCAGAGTATAATCTGATTAATCTCAGAACAAGAATCCTGCTTCAACTGGAGGCTGTGAATTTGCTGTAAGCAGTAAAAGACATAAAGCAGACAGAATATGTAAAACACAAGGTTAGTAAAGCATCTTTCCATACCAGCATAAGACTCAACAATGATACTGCAGTAATTCTCAAGGGTTTGGGAAGCAGAAAGGTGGAATTTGCTTATAGTCACAGCTACAAGTAACAGAGCATATTCTGCTGTGATGCTATTTTTATTTTTTCATGGAGCAAACCAAGTTTATTCAAATATTTAACCATCCAACAAATATTTATTACCTGACGGCTATGGGACAGGCAGTGCTGGTATAAAGAACAAGAAGACACAACCCCTCTGCTCAAGAAATGATGCACGTTGCAATGAAAGAGAACCCAAACCCAAATTATAAGAATATAGCTGGTCTGCTTGAGAGGGAAGTGTGGGAAGCCATGGGAGCAGAAACAACTACCCATTCCAGATGCGAGAAAAAAGGAGGAAGGGTATCAGAGAAGGCTCTTTGGAAGATGTGATACTTGGCCAAGTCCTCAAAAAGGAAAAGGAGAAGGAAGTGCAGAAGGGGCTAATGACATTTCCAGCAGGAGGACCAGCACGTGAGAAGCTCAAAGGCATGAGCAACTTCACCTTAGTGAACCACAAGCTGTCCAGTCCTGCTCTGTGATGGGGGGAGACCTGCAAGGTATGGCGTTGGAGACACCACCAGAGACTGTCTGCAAAGGGCAGTGAATATCGTGCTGAGGGGCTCGGGCTTCATTCTTGACAGTGATAAAGAGTCACAGAAAAGTTTGAAGGCAGTCAAGGCTTTTGACTGTAATTATCTTGTCTTTTCAAGATGAGATCAAAGCAATTACATCTACCGTTTGGGGTCCTCAGGCTTGAATTTGATTTGCCCCCGCTGTGGGAAAATCACTGTCTCCCATTAGTGAACACCAAAAGTGGATTCCTGATCAGCTAGCACTTGATAATTACTGTCTTCAAGATGGTGGAAGATTTAGAGTTGGCACATCTAAAGGTTTAAAGTTGGCACAGCCAGAAATTCCTCCAGGCCAGCTGGTCAACCCACCATGAGCGTAGAAATGGTATTTCGAAATTCTGATTTCCCAGGCCCACTGACATTGTTCAGAGGGTAGATGCCAGTGCACAGCTGTAAGAAGAAGACAACAGCCTTTTCATAAAGAAATGCCAAGAAATCCAGCGTGCAACTCCACAACGGAAACAGCCGGCTTCTGGGGCAGTCAGCCCACCAGTGTGTTGTTGGCTACTGAAATGTCGGGTTTGCATTTATGTGAAGCCTCTTGGCCCCCATCTCAACTGTTGTTTGCTATATTTTTATTCATATCTCTTCCTCCAATTTCATAATTGTTATCTCTCTCCCTTTAATTTCTCTATCAAGTTCATTCAGTGAAAGCTACAGCTTTTACTTATCTTACTGACATTGATGTAATGAGAGGATGGGGGCACACGGATAGCACCCATTACAGAAGCAGCCACAACACTGCTGCCTAAAAATAAACTGATACTCTTTCGTGATTTGCTTAGCAAAAACGAAAAAAAAAAAAAGTGGAAGAACAGCCAAACATTTTTGTGGAAGTATTATCTGTGTGATTATTACTATTTACTGAGCAACATGACATTATGTGAAAATTACTGTCAACTGTATGAAAAGATAAAGCAGGATGCGAGGGGCGTTGTAGAATAGTATCAGTAGCATATAAAAAGCCAATCCAAAGGGAAGAGATGGTTTCCTCAGGAAGAGACGTTCCCCACTGTGGATCCCCTCCTGTGCTCTCTCCATCCCTCTTGACTGCAAGAGCTCTCACAGACAAACCATACTCGCCTCCTGCCTGCCTCAGTTAGGGAACTCTCCTCACCTCTCCTGCAACCTGGTTCCTAACATTGTCTTCATGGAAAAAAAAAAAGTTTTATGTCAGGATTAGAGAGACCATTTAAAAAGCAGTTACCGGAAAAGGAAAGAGAGTGATTTAGTTCACATAAAGGGGAAATTGTCAATGTCAGCTAAGTTTCTGACAAGCAGTTTTGACAGAAGGAGGAGAAAAAAGAGGGAAGTAAGATAAGAGGGGGCATTTATGGGCTCTAGGATTAATTTCCTTAACCTTAAAGTGTTGCTTAGATTGTTTTTTTTTATGCATGAGGACTGCTGGAATATTTGAAAAGCACACACACTTCTGATTTTAGTTGTGCTTCAATCCCAAGGCCAAGGAGACAAGTGTTTTATCTGTGGAGCACTGCTCCTGGCCTCCCAAGGGCCAGTGGGTTTAAGGATGGGCGACTCTCCCTTTCTTTCCCCAAAACTAGATATATCACTTTGAGTTTTAGGTCCTCTCAGTCTCATCAAGATCACATTTTGATCTTTGGTTAAGGACTGCTACGGGGCTCTGGGTGAGCTTCAGGGCATGAATTTGGGTTAAATGAGGAGCCCAGAGAATGTAGTTCAATATCAGGTATGGCGAACATTTTCTGTAAGGACCAGATAGTAAATATTTTAGACTTTTCAGGCCATAAGGTTTCTGTCACAGCTATTCAAGAGGGCCTTTGTAGCACAAAAGCAGCCATCAACAATATGTGAATGAACAAGCATGGCTGTGTTCCAATAAAACTTTATGACACCAAAATTTGAATTTCATTTGTATTTCCATATGTCACGAAATATTCTTTTTGGATTTTTCCCCCAACCATTAAAAAATATAAAAACTATTGTTAGCAGCTTGTTACCAAAATAGGTAGCAGGCAAGATTTGACCCTCAGATCATGGTTTGCAGACCCCTGTTCTAGATCAAACAAGATTCGAAGGAGGATAAGCTTTGTCAATATGAAACTTAGGAAGAACTTTCCCCAGAACTTGGAAAAGTCTGAATTAAATAGATTCTTGAAAAGAAACATTTTTCCCTCAGAAAGGATAGCTTCAATTCAATTTCAAGCTAGGATTTTTAGGTTAGAAGTGTGCTTTAACGGACATATAGAGCTCATCTGAAACTCGCAGCCAATGTGAGGCATACATACAGAAACAATTTGTTCTTTTAAATGAGTTCAAGGCAGTCCTTGCTCTGTTGTTTACAAGATCCATTTCCAGAGAAAACCCTTTCTTCCTAGGTCATGCAAAGACCATTTAAGCTCAGCCCTGGGCAGATTATCACCTTGAGGGCATACTCAGACAGGTGCATTGTTACCATACTTTTTGTGTTCCAGGGATGAATGAAGACGGCACCTTTGATTTTAATTGAGTTTAATAAGCTCTGTTCCTCCCTGGCCTCAGTCTTTCTATCTAGTAAGGGACGGTTTTGCAAAGTCTACTTGCCTTCCTTAGGATGGCTTTACTTGTACTGTGCTTAATTTATCTCTGATCTTTCTGAAGTAAATTATGTAAACTGATTTGAGCTGCAGAAACAGACAAAAATTCCAATGTAGAGACTGTAAAACAGACCTTCCAGAGGAGATGGAGGAAGCATGAAAAGGAAGGGAATCTAAGAGGAGCCAATTTTCTCAAACTACAGAAGGCTGAGCAGCCCAGACCAAGAATCCTGAGAATAGCAGAGGGCTGTTCCTTATGATCTCATCCTTAGGATGAGAGACACTTTCCAAAATGGAAACCGAAGCCTAGAGCACTACTAACGTGGATGTGTAGAGCTTTCTATATTCACAGGACACTGGTCAGTAGGAAAATGCCATTTCTACAAGACACACCCAAGTATGCTACAAGGCAAAATAAGTATTACACTGATTTTTCTGTTGATGTATTGATGGTAACAGCACCACTCAGGGATGCAGAAACGCAGCACTCGGCCCTGCCCTGGCCCCCACCATAGGACTTTCAGCATTGGCAATGGCTTTGCCATTTCTGGGTTCCCAGAAGGAAAGGGTTTTGAGGAATGGTGTAACTGACCCATCTCTGTCATTATTCAGACCATGCCCCTGAACTGGAAAACCTTACCGTGACCGAGGTTGGCTGGAATGGCCTCAGACTCAACTGGACCGCAGCTGACCAGGCCTATGAGCACTTTGTCATTCAGGTGCAGGAGGCCAGCAACATGGAGGCAGCTCAGAACCTCACCGTGCCCGGCAGCCTGCGGGCTGTGGATGTCCCGGGCCTCAAGGCTGCCACCCCTTATAAAGTCACCATCTACGGGGTGATCGGGGGCTATAGAACACCAGTGCTCTCTGCTGAGGCCTCCACAGGTACCTCTTATCCTTCTGTCTCTAGCTTCTGTTTTTCCTAACAGGAAACTACCCATAGGTAATCAGACATAATGGATAATCAGACACAACTTGCTTAAAAAAAGTTAAGTTTATTTATTTTGAAAGAGAGTGTGAGTGGGGGAGGGGCAGAGAAAGAGAGAGAGAGAGAGAGAGAGGGAGAGGGAAAATCCCAAGCAGGCTCTGCAGTGTCAGTGCAGATGACCTGAGCTGAAATCAAGAGTTGGACACTTAACTGACTGAACCACCCAGGCGCCCCAGACACAACTTGCTTTTGAATGGACTTGTTCTGCCCCAAGCTATGGTGCTATGGTGTCTACCACACCCCATGTGAACAACACCCTTTGGAGCTGTACACAGCCCTGCCCAGGAACCATAGACACAGCCCCAAAGGTGAAGATCTTTATTTTCACAAACAGGCTCCCTCCTGGTAAGGGATGTTAAGGCATTATATTTAAAAGGAAAGAAAAATCACAAAATTAATCTCCTTGTCCACTGAAGATTGGGGCAGTTCTTCAGTAAAATAAGATGACAGATATTTTTCTATACTTCATGCTCTTTGTTCTAGTCTTCAAATTTAGGGAGCTGCATGATGCATGTTTATTAAAGACAATCATCTATTTTTAAGTAATATAAATCCTGTTCTTGTGTTCAAGATTCCCTGGATCTTGCTGTGTGATTTGATCATTAAACTAGTTCTTTGTCCTTCTCCAGGGGAAACTCCCCATTTGGGAGAGATCATGGTGTCCGAGGTGGGCTGGGACGCCCTCAAACTCAGCTGGACTGCTCCAGAAGGAGCCTATGAACAGTTTTTCGTTCAGGTGCAGGAGACGGACACAGTAGAGGCAGCCCAGAACTTCACAGTCCCAGGAGGACTGAGGTCCGTGGACCTGCCCGGGCTCAAAGCAACCACTCATTACAGCATCACCATCCGTGGGGTCACGCAGGACTTCAGCACGACTCCTCTCTCTGTTGAAGTCTTGACAGGTATTCAAGACTGGTTCATTAATTTGCTTCCTCCTCTTTCTCTGCCCAGGAGGGATCAAAGCTCTTCCTGCCGTAAGCTGGGCTCAGCTCCTGCCACACTGGGGAACACCGGCGAATAATCCCTGCTCCCACCTGAATGTCATATCCCTTATTTGGCCAAGTCCTAGTCTAACATATTAGCCAATTCCATGGAAAATTCCACCTCCTCTTCCCTTACAAAAGTGAGAGGTGACTTTTCTTTCAAAGCAAGTTTTCAGTCATAATAGCTAAGAAGTTGGAAAGCAGTTTGCAAGTGGAAAGAAAATATTCGTCTGAGCTCATTTTAAGAACGCACTAAAAGATTCCCCCAAAGCCCCATTTATATGTTAAGAATGGAAGTTATGAACAATTCTTAGAACTATCTTTCATTCCCGGAGGCTGAACAGAAAACCCCTGGCTTTAATGCCAACAGAGTGTGCTCAACACCTGCTGTAAATCGTGCATCTGTAATCAACACTAAACAGATGACCCATCCCAGCCTCAGCCAAAATGTCATCTCACCTGAATCCCAGCATGCAATTAATTACCTTTTTTAGTAACTGTGCAACTCTGTGTCCTTATGCAGAGGAGGTTCCAGATCTGGGAAACCTCACAGTGACCGAGGTTCGCTGGGATGGCCTCAGCCTGGACTGGACGGCCCCCGAGGGGACCTATGAGCAGTTTGTCGTTGCCGTCCGGGAGGCTGGCCAGGCTGAGGAAGCTCACAGTCTCACGGTTCCTGGCAGCCTGCGCTCCGTGGAGGTCCCAGGCCTCCGGGCCAGTACCCCTTACACGGTCACCCTGCGTGGCAAGGTCAGGGGCCGCAGCACTCGACCCATTGTTGTGGAGGCCATCACAGGTATAGGACCCGCCCCCCATACCAGGGACATGATTGAGCCCACCTTTCTTTGGAAGAGAGAGAACATTCCCCCACGTGTCGGAGTGTGGTCTTTGTTCCGACAGGCAGCGTAAAGGGAGGCTCTAACTCAGGAAGGGCTGGGTTGGAATTCCACCTTGCTAGATGCTCTTGGGTCTAGCATTTTACATTTCTGAGCCTTCTTTTCTCACCTTCAAAGCAGATAATAGCCTACCTCAGAACATTGTCCTGAGCAGTAGAGGAAATAATGACTAAAAATGCTTAGCAAAGCTCTCACCCTGTAGTAAATATTGAACAGCAAATAGCTAAATATTTCAGATAGCCTTATATCTAATAAATATAGCCTAAACAGTAGGACCATGGTGGCACAAGAATAAGGTCAGAACTTTCCAGAGAAATCTTATCATTAGAGGCCTCAGAGGCCCTAACGTTGTCCAGCTTGTAGTCAACATCTCTATGGAATAACCTTTGAAATGATCTTCTGCCGAAACTGTTCCAGTCTCTCTTTCTCTCTCCTTAACAGACACTCAGGGCAGGCATATTTCCAAGAAAGAACATCCACATTTGACTTCAATGTTTTTCATTCAGTTTAAGGAGGAAAAACAATTTATCTCAATTTGTCCCCTGGAAATATGCTCCTCCATCTGTTATTGGAAACTCTGCTGTTCATGAATTTTTAGACACTGCTTTATAAAGGGGGCAAATGGGCCAAATTTTTGGTAATTGGGTTCTTATGCTGGGCCCTCAGTCCATGCCCTTCTCTATCTATCCTGTGTTTTGACACTACCACCCAAATAACCTAGTTCAAATAAATTTTTCTCCTTGCTCACATATACCAAGTAAAGTTGGTCCTTGTGAGAAACTATACACAATTCCAAAAATGAGAAGGGCAATGTTGCAATCCAGCTCTCCTGGCCGGGTTAGTGTTGTCTGGTGCTGCCTGGAATGTCTTCAGACCCAGTGAGCCAATGGGGCTTGTGAGGCACCTGTGATCTAATTATAGATGCTAACGGTCTCTATCTGTAACAACATAATTCCTTCTGCACATGAAACATTACCAGAAGCCCCACTATGTGACAGATAAATGAACAGCTCTTCTTGGCGAGCTAAGAGGGCAGAGAGGACTGCCTTTGCCAGTACCCCCACAGGGAGCACCGAGGCTACATGGTCATTTGAATACAGCCCCTCTAAAAAGCTGAGTTCCCCTCCCCTGCTCATGCTGTCTCTCTCTCTCTCTCCTAGAAAGAAAGAAAACATTAAAAAAGAAAAAAAAAAGCTGAGTTTGCTGAAACTCACGAGCACCGAGAACAAGTGTCTCAGGTGCATCTTTTTTGGCTGGAATCCTTACAGATATTTTCTTTTTCTAACTTCAAATCCATGGCCATGTCAGCCTTTACAAAGAGTCTGACAGGTTGCATTTAAGCCTGAGAGATGTTCCACTAAGCAGTGGGTTTTCCCGTATTCAGAATCGAGACTTTCTAAAATCAGCAATAAGAAAAACATTGAATCTCCTTGCTACATGGTAGAAAGATCAGTAGTGGGCCCTGCTCTGCACCATTGACTGAGCAAAACATAAGCACTTTTAATTAAAAGCGGGCACTCATTTTGCATAAATGGCTTTGCTTCATGATGCAGCAATTCTTTGTTCAGGCACAAAGTACTAGCAGAAGGTGGGAGGAAAAGAACCAAGCCAAGAACCAAGCCAAGAATCAACGCAGATCCCTAAAAGCCAAGTAGAGTCCAGAGACAAAACATCAGACACGTCAGTCTGCGACAACATACTCTTTATAAAGCCTGTCTGATAGCAGGTGGCCTGGCAATAAGAAAGACAGTGTCTCCAACGTGAAGTCTTTTTTTTTTTTAATGTTTTTATTTATTTCTAGGGGGGAGAGAGAGAGAGAGAGAGAGAGAGAGCATGAGCAGGGGAGAGTCAGAGAGAGAGGGAGACACAGACTCTGAAATAGGCTCCAGGCTCTGAGCTAGAAGTCAGCACAGAGCCCGACATGGGGCTTGAACCCATGAACCACGAGATCATGACCTAAGCAAAAGTCAGACGCTTAACCGACTAAGCCACCCAGGCGCCCTTCCAACTTGAAGTCTTGAAATGAGGCAGATAATTCTCTCTAGTATGGCTGAGAAGTTCCAAGGGGAAACATCTAAACAATGATGTATTTCTTGGACAGCCACTTACTACGCACTCATGACGGGTCAGGTATGATACTCAGGGGTTTATAAATGGTATCTAACCATCACACCGTCCAATGATATTGTACTGTCAGCTCCCGCTATGGTGAGGAGAGTGAGACTCAGAGATGAGCTGGGTGGTAGGCCCAAGATGACCTGGCTAATAAAGATCATTGTTGGAATTCCAACCTAGACCCAGATGCCTCCAAAGCCCTCGCTTTTAACATCCCTTACCTCCCTTACCGTGACCCACAGTCCTTCTTTTCCAACTGTCCTTTCGTTTCTGGCCATGCATATGCAGACTCCCTGGTGGGATGGGCAGTGACCTGGACAGCATTGTCATCTTAAGGATGAACAACGTAGATCTTCCCTTTTCTGACCATTTTCAACTACTGACAAAGGGCTGTGGCCGGAATGCCACAGTTCAAGTTGGAAATAAATGCCCAGAGACCAAGAATGACCATGCTGGCATGCAAAAATTCTCTTGCCTCTTTCTCTCTTCCCTAGAGCTGGGCTGTGGGATGTTGGGTTTCCTCCTTTTTTTGGTTTGCAGAACTGACAAATAACGTCTCTGTCCTTCTTCAGAGGAGCTCCCCCAGGTGGGGGACATAGCTGTGACCGAGGTTGGCTGGAATGGCCTCAGACTCAACTGGACCACAACTGACCAGGCCTATGAGCACTTTGTCATTCAGGTGCAGGAGGCGAACTGGGTGGAGACAGCTCAGAACCTCACCGTGCCGGGCAGCCTGCGGGCTGTGGACGTCCCAGGCCTCAAGGCTGCCACCCCTTATAGAGTCACCATCTATGGGGTGATTGGGGGCTATAGAACACCAGTGCTCTCTGCTGAGGCCTCCACAGGTACCTTCCTCCCCACTGTTGATGTCCCTCCCCAAGCCACCCTGCTTTCTCTGCAAGAAACTTTATAGATACTCAGCTTCTCTCCATGTCCAAGTCCTTCCCTTCTGCTCCTTGGTGGCTGGCCATGCATGCCCAGAGACCTGCCTGTAAGCTGTGCCTTGGTCTAGATGCCTCTGCCATCTAGAAGATGAATGATAAAGAGGTTGCCTTTTCTGACCTCCAGCCTCTAGCCTCCCCCAGACTTCCTACCACTACCTCTCTTTTGAATGATGACCTTCCATTTCAGGAGATAGCCTGATGGTTTTAATTCTCTTTTCCAGTGCTGAGCTATAACTAAAAGCCGTCCCTTGCCATGTGTGAGTTCTGGTAGAGCACAGATTATTTACTTTACAAAGCCTTTTTGCTAGTTGGAAAAGGCGCTTTAGTATCCCAAATCCCTCAAGGGTATGGGTACTGCGGTTCTTGCATTTAAAAGAAATGTTTTAATTTAAGTGTTTCTTTAAAATGCACACAGTATAATAAGAGAACTGAATTACCCTCCTCCAAGCAATTCTCTCAGATACTGAGTCATTGTTAGAACACCAAATTAGCAAATAGCTAGACCAAAAAAAAAAAAAAAATCACACAATTATGACTGGAGACAGTACCAAAGAAAAAGCCATTCATTCAGAGAAGTACACACAGCAGCATTTGAAGCAAGGAATGTCCCAGGCAATGAATGTCAAAGATCCAATGCCTTTTTTGCTCTTTTAATCAAGAGCTGCTCCCTGGAGTGCTGGCTTTTGCATATGACTCACTCCCAGCACTGAGCCAGGACTGTGTGCTGCACCTTACTCACCTTCCACTCCGGTGAGGAGGCAGTCAGTGTTTCCCCAGGGGCCTGCCTCAGTGAGCAGCCTCCCCCAGCACTGTTCTCCACGGCATATCTTCCTGTATGCCTCCATTGGTTTGAAGCGCAGTAGAGGCTGTCTTGCTTGGTTTTGCAAACGCTGCCCCATTTTTAGATAATTATTGCAACCAAACCTTCGTGCCTAAATGACCTCATTGATTCCAGCCAAAGCATAGATATGCATTTTAGCCTCCATCGTTTCAATAACCCTTGCTGAAATCAACAGAATACAGACAGCCACTGTATGAGCGGTGACCTTGAAAGGCCTAGAAATTGCAACTGGCAATGTTATCAGACTTCCATAGATCATCCCTTCCCAGAAGGCAAGAGCAATCACTTGCCACTTCTGATCTTTCCCACAGACCTTGTGGTTGGGTGCCCTTCATATTTTTTTGTGTTTTTTTTTTTTTCTTTTTAATGATAGCAACATTCCTGTTTCTGATGAAATGGTTTGAGGGGAGGAAGGGCTGTGATCCCATCCGATCTGTGTCTCACCAAATCTGATGGGATGGGAAGGCCTTCCCCTTCCCTACTAGAGAGGAACTGCTTGCTTCTCACATCTTGCTTCCTCTTTCTGCATATTTTAGTCCAGTTGCACAGAAAAGCACTGGTAGGACCATCTCCAAGACAAAATGTTATTTCTTGGCCAAACGGGTTGCCTGACTGCCTTGCCTCAGCTCAGCTCTCTTGGTTGGCAATATGAGTAGTAGCTTTCTTGGCCCACGTAGAGGCAGTTAAGAGAGGACGAGCTATTCTAACAAAATATGAAAGCAGCTGGCCCTTGTCAGAAGTATGATGAAAATACCAAGAATCACACTGACACATTGCCAGTTCCCTTTAAGTCACAAAATCAGAAGCCTCAGGGTACCACCTTGGGGAGGTGATGGCATCAGAATTATTTAGCCTTTATTTAAAGAGATGGGAGCTCCCTCAAAGCAAAGGACGCCTGCAGGAGGGAGCCGAGTCTGCCAGCACTCATATCTCTTGACCGATGGCCAACGTCCCTGCGGTGGGTCTCCCGGGAGCATCTGAGCTTAGGTACTGAGGTTGTTGCTGACATCATTCAGATGTCTTCTCACACGTGGGATCTTAGCCAGCCTGATCATATATGGCTGCTCCAGAGCAGGGAAATCCCACTGGCCAGACCTTCCTCTTTTCTTCTCTTAACAAATCCCCATTTTCTCTCCCGCTGGCACTGCCTGGTAACACTGCTTCATTTCCCCTTAACCCTGAACTAGCAGGTCTTTCTACCCAGCCACGGTTCTCTTAACAGCCTCAATCTTAAAACGCAAGCCAAATAATCAACCCAAATTCATTTATGTTTTTCCTCTCTCCTACCCCTCCTTTTTCAGCCACAGAACCTGAAATTGGAAACCTAACTGTTTCTGACATAACTGCTGAGAGCTTCAATCTCTCCTGGACAGCCACCGATGGGGCCTTCGAGACCTTTACCATTGAAATTGTTGATTCCAATAGGTTTTTTGAGACTATGGAATATAATATCTCTGGTGCTGAACGAACTGCCCACATCTCAGGGCTACACCCTAATAATCATTTTATTGTCTACCTCTCGGGACTCGCTCCCAGCCTCTGGACCAAAACCATCAGTGCCACAGCCACCACAGGTACATCTGCTTTCTCCCATGTCTGACACCCTCTCTCCAGAGTCTTCTTTGCAGGGTGAAGCTGCTCCTTCACTCCTTCTTTGCAGGGTGAAGCCACAGTGCATTAACTGTTCCACAGTGCTAGGCTGGAGCAATACTTAACGTAACTCTCTTCCAACAGCAGCCCAAATGGTGGATTTCCATTAAGCCCTTTGCCTGATCTATTACTGACCAGGATGTTTGCAGCATAAAATGTAGTTTGGTCCAGATGGCCATATGGAATCTGGAGAAAAGAATTCTGCCCTTCCATACCTAAAATGCAAGAGTTGTCCTTGATTTGGAAAGATGTCTGCCTCAAAAAAGCCTAAAATTATATTTTGTATTATCCTAATATCTTTGGCCTCCAAATACCCAAATGTTCCAATGATTTAATGAAATTGCGTTGGTGCTGTTATTTTTTTTTTCAACTTGGAAAGTGATTTGAAAAAAAAAGGAGATTACTAACCAGATGGGTGCACAAGGAGATGGTGCCATCCAGACCATCCCAAGACCAATGCAGCCTGTAGGAGAAAAGACCTGAACAGGCTGTCTTGCCACCAGAAGAGTGAGTGGTTGATGGCAAAAATAGAAGTAGTCATGTTTATACAAGGACTCGGTCCATCGGAGTGTAAGCCCCTCTCACTTAAATGTAGCATCTGTTGTATACATCCTATGTGAAGCCCTCTCTGGCATGCCGCAAAAGAGAATTCTCTATTTGAACTTGAAAGGAAAAGCCTAGCCTTCTTAGCATTCTTAGCACATTTTGGACAATGAATCCAAGAAAAAGGCTGACATTGTAGCATCAAAATCATCTAACACTTAAGTCACCCATGGCTGAGGGAGGCTCTGTCCTCATTCTACGTGAGACTACAGCTTGTCAGCAGGGTGGTCTAGCTGTCGTCTTCGCCATATTCAAGTACACAAAAACCTAATGGAGAAAATTATTCAGCTCTGTATGTTTGTTTCTCATGGCTCAAACCGGGCTTCAGCAAAGGCAAGTTCCTTTACCAAAGGGTGAAGTCTAAAACTTTATGGATTTAGTCTTACATGTTTTGGTTTTTTACTCTATTGTAACAGTGTTTTAAATTGACACACTTTCTTTTTTCTTTTTTTTAATTTTTCTTAATGCTTTATTTCTGAGAGAGAGAGACAGTGTGAGCAGGGGAGGGTCAGAGAGAGAAGGAGACACAGAATCCACAACAGGCTCCAGGCTCTGAGCTGGCTGTCAGCACAGAGCCCTACGTGGGGCTCGAACCCATGAACTGTGAGATCATGACCTGAGCTGAAGTCGGAAGCTTAACCGACTGAGCCACCCAGGCTCCCCGAAATTGACACACTTTCATATTTTTGTCTGCTTGCTTTAGTGGCCGAACCTCTCCTGAGCCACCTCACGGTCTCAAATGTGACCTGGGCCAGTGTGGCCCTCTCATGGAAAGCCCAAGAGGCTGCCTTTGATAGCTTTCTTATCGAAGTTAGGAATTCTGACCACAGCCAGGAGACGGAGGTGCTTTCTACACCTGCAGCATCTCGCAGCTCTATCATCACCAACCTCAAAGCGTCTTCTAATTACACTGCCCACCTTCATGGGCTGATTGGCGGGCACTGTGCTCGGTCTCTGATGGTCCAGGCAACCACAGGTATTTCCCATCATGGCTTCTTCACTCTCCATTGAACTTCGTCTGGGGAGCATTGCCCCCAAAAATCACTTGCTACCCATTTTTCATCCTCCTGGTTCCTCCAGATCTTTCTCAAATTTGACAGGGCCACCCAAGTCAGAGCTTTAAAACTTAAAAAAAAAAAATCATCCCAAAGCCAACCTCTTTCTCCTAAATGTGCACTCACATCGGGAGGTACTCTTTTTGTTTGTATAGACTTAACCTGACTTGCTTTGGTTGAATTTCTACATCATCCTTCTCATCTGATCTTGAATAATCATTTCCAGTTCCACCCATTATCCATCTGCCTGTGGTCTAATCAGAGTTTGCCTATGACATCTTCAAAGAGGTGTATGCATGCCAGTTTGGGTTCCCTGGTCAGAATGATCTACATACTCTTTCTCTCCCCCAAGACTCTAAAACATGGTCCCAGTAGCATGCAAAGACCCTAACACACACTTGCAAAGCCAGAGGACCCAGTGGTCGCTTCTTGTTCTTGACACATTTATTTGCTTGCATTCCCTACAAACGGTCTGTTTTCTTTTGACATTTACCCCACCAAGCATGTTTTGTCATCTACTGACACCTGTCACAGAATGTCAGTCTTCTTTCATCTGTCATCTTGTCCAAATCTTGGTGCATGTGGTGAACATTCAGAACATTACATTTTTGAAAATATCTGTGTTTCTTGAAAGCAGGTGGCATGTCCGAGAATTTTTTCAAAGCGTTGTAAGTGGTGAGAGGAAGAAATCCCAGCTTGCATGGAACACTGGTCATTACCTTATCTCTCACTCTCTCTTCAAGGTTTTCCTTGCACCTCACTCCTGAGCTTGGTTGCACCCTTTGGGAGGCAGCTGGCATTCAAGCTGGCCGTGAGAAGCTAGGTCTTACTCTGCATGGTGAATGTGTTCACACTGCCAGTCTCTGTCTGGTGGCATGAGAAGGATCCTGACACGCATCCTTAATCTGAGAGATTGCTGTCGCAGCAAAACACAGGGAAAGAGCAAACAGAGGCCCATTTGGAGGTTCCACCTTTAGTGTAGGTTGAAGTAATTTATGCCAATGGCTAAAAATTGTAGCATCATTATCTTCTCAAACTAATTGCTAAGTTGGAAATCCTGTGCCATTACTTACAGCTATCTTTTGCTTTGGGACCAGATTCTTTTTGCCCTTAGAGACTTTATGGCATCAAATTATACTGTGCAACTGTCCAGTTAAAGTTTATCCAGATGAGCCCCTTCTTTCCTCCTAATACTGGAGCTACAGCAAAACCACTACCAAGTCCTTGGAAGAAATAGTCTGCTTCTTCCCAACCTTTGATGCTGACCCTGGTACCTCACCCCTGCAGGACTGTTGCCTCTTTATAAAATAAAGTTTGAGTTGAACTTACTTTAAAGTTAGTACTACTTGATAAATGTGCATTGAGGAGGCCAAATTATATACATCTCAGTGGACACCAGCAGTACAGGCCCCCCTACATTACAAAATGAGTTGCCTTGATCACTGATATCTTAGTCCTTAAGGGACAAGAGAATATTAACCTCCAGGGGAACAACTTATCTTTCCAAATTATCCAGTAAGTGAATTTTCTAGTAATATCTAACTTTAAAGTTTCTTTTAACTTTTGCATACACCAAAAAATTTTTAATGAAAGCCATTTCTACCTTTACACTATTTAGGATAAGATGCAGATTTTATTATGGTATATAGAAAACCTTTGGATTTCTAAATACTATGGAGAATTTCTCTTGTATGGACATTAGCCTTTAATTTGTACAATCCAACTAGATCAAAAGAAAACTAAATAAGGAAACTTCAAAGTAGCATTTCCTAAGAGGTGCTCAAGAAGCTTGTGCTCCTTGAGAGGTTCAAAGAATATCCCTTGAAAGGGTATCCATTGATCAATAAGTTCATGAAATTCTGGGCTGCACAAAATTAAGTAGTTTTTTTTTTTCACAGAACCAGCATTTCAGAGGCTATAAAACGCTCTCATGCTTTGTGAATCTCTAGGGTGAGCTAGAATACCCATACGTACTTTACTATAAAGCTACTTTTCTTAGAACATATTACAGAGCTAGTGCCCCACTGCAAACCTTAGAAATGCATCCTAAATATTCTCTGTTGCTCCCGTCTACCATTCTAATGCCTTGTTCACTTGTCTTCATAAGGCCAGCAAGTGGTTGTGTCTATACTTCTAAAGAATGCACATCCATACCTGCAGAGAAAGTATATTCTCTAGCATCAGTCAATGCAAGTGTAGCCACAACCTAATATACTACCTTTCTGCAAATATTTGGAGGGATTGGCACTTTTATGTCCTATGTCTATATTTTGGAAAAATCAACTGCTTCTGCTAATAATGTCTCTCCTTTCTCTTTTGCCCATGTTCCTCTCCCTTCAGAGCCAGAGCCACAGTTGGGCATGCTAATCCTTAGCAATGTTACTCCTGACAGCTTCAACGTGTCCTGGACCACTCGAGCCGGGCCTTTTGCAAAGATTGTTGTCAATGTTAGCGATTCTGAGTCGCTGTATAATCCCCAGCAATTCACGGTCTCAGGAGACACACAGCATGCTCACATCACGGGCTTGGTGGAGAACACTGACTATGACATTAGTGTGGCAGGGACCACCTGGGCTGGGAACCCCACCAGACCCCTCACTGCTTTCGTGACAGGTACTCATTCAAAGGTTCTCACTTGTCCATTTAGGATTTTGAGATGGAAAACAGCGGAGAGGAAAGGTGATAGGCATTCTAAAGGGAAGGTCAACCCCAGGAGAGTCTTCATTCCAGATGTAAATGTATAAGTGAGGAGAGAACAGATCCTATTGCAAAGAGGGATATTTTTCAGCTCTTCATGGGACATGGAGACCATGTCCTCAACAGTTGCATAAAGCTACCAAGGATTTCCCTGTCTTGGATCAGCTTTATAGGGTGATCCATATTTTAGCAATTCTGGCTGAAGAGTGAGTGCTGTTACCAACAGCCTAGAGCAGGAATTTTGGCCATAAATCATACTAGGTAAGGCAGTTTATAAACCACTTGCCCCAGAAATATAATAATTTATCTTTTTCTTTAAAAAAAAACCACTTTGTCTTAAGTCAGTATCCACAAGAAATTACTGGAGGTTTGACCTAGGGTAGCAGATAAATCCAAACTTAATTGAAGCTTACCCATTTTTTGAACTTGACCTCCAACCTCTCTTTGAATTATTGAAGAATTACATAAAAAAGACATGGCTTTCCATTTTCTTTCCTGAGATTATCCAAATCAATGGTAAAGGCTGCATATGGCATCAGTTTACCAAATCTGTAGCGTGACAGACCTCAGAAAATATTTAGAAGTTTCTTGCCTTCCACTAGTGATAATTTTCAGGAGACTGACTTTGCCTGCTGATTCTCACATTAAACCAGGACCTCTCCCAGCATTGAAATTGCCACCAATAAAATATGTTAATAAGTTCAATTAAATATTTAATTGGAAGCAGCCATGATGATCTAGAAGTATGAGGGTTTTGATATCAGGCCTGAGTGTTTCTGAACTTCCCCCACATCTTCTTAGCTGCATAACCTGCTCTGAATTCCAATTGCCTTATATTTGAAGAAGGGCCCCTTACATTTGAAGAAGGGCCATTTCTGTCAGCCTTGTCTCAGGAATTAAATGGATATGATAAAGTTTAACAGCCTGGCATCCAGTAGGCATCTTACAGATGCTGGATTCTTTCTGCTGTTTCCTAGCAGTAGGAGGGAAGTAGCATTCTTAAAAGTAAACAAGTATAGATATAAACTTAGCAGCTATTGTTATGAAATCATGACTTATTATTTTCAGGAAAACACTGGACATGTTTTAATGTGAGATCAAAACGTGGTTATATTTTCTGTCCTGTTGCCTACTGTGAATTCAGACATTCAGACAAGTCTTCAAATGCAAAACATGGTCATTTCTTAGTGAGGCATGAGAGGGAGTCAAGGGGGCTCCCATTCTCTTGTCTTCTGATGCACAGGAGGGGAGGAATGGCCAGCCACACACCCTATCAGGTCATCACTTGTAGCCTCCCACAGGACCTCCCGCAGAATGGGGAGAAGAAAGGCAGTCTGGGAGGGCTGGTCTTGGGAATCCTAGATCTGGTTACAGCATTGTCTCAGCTAATCCTTGAAGTGAAAAGACCCTGAGTTTAAAAGAAGCATATTTTAAAAAAGAAAAAAAAGCTGAACATGAATGACTATAAATAACAAGCCTTTGATTGACTAATTAGCCTGAATGCCCCACTTTTCACAGGAATTCACTGCTTTGATGGTGTGGAGGTGCACAGAGCCTAGCTATCCAAAGAGGCGCCACTTACCTAAATAAACTCAGCAACAGAACTTGAGCCATTGTCCTGCAGACAAAGAAGTCTGTTTGCGCAGTATAAGTGTTTTCATCTTTGCCTTCAATAGAGTTATGATTTTTGGGAGATCCTTACCTGGAAAAAAAAGTCTCAAAACAAACACCAAGTGTGTTAAATCAATACAGGAAGTCCAAGCATAAACAAAATTTAAATCTCTGCTTTGGGGATGAGGATATTCATTCACTTGTTCATTCAGTCACCAACGATTTCTTTGTAAAATATTTTTCTTTGCATCCTGTGGATTAGACTCTGGGCATTAGTGTAAGGTCAGTTATCTCTTTGAAAGTTTCCATTTAGAAGCAATGGAAAAGAAGACTGTAAACTAGGTGTAGCTAAAGCAGCTTGGTCATGGAGTTCCCAGCCCCATGCCCCCTCCGATAAAAAATACATTCGCTATTACTGTGTTTTGTTTTGCTAAAGAGGGAAGCCCTGGACCTTCTCTACCAATCCTATTTATGCCTCTGGACTTTCCAGCCCTGAAGGGGTTGACTAATCAGACATTGGCTTAGGGTGTGGAAAGAGCATTGAACTTGAAATCAGATGGCCTGGGTGGGAACCCAGCATAGCCACCCAGTAGATTTGGAATCCTGCATATAAGTCATTGACCTCTGTTTCCTTAGACGTCATGGGGGAAAAGGGGTAGGTAGCAGTAGCTATTTCACAGTGTCATTGTGAAGATTAAATGGGAGAATAGACATGAAGCCTTGTCAATTGGGACTTAGAACTTAGCACTTAGAAACTTGGCTGATATAACCTCACTCTCTTCGGAAATCCCTGTGTGTAAAAAGGCCCCTTGGTGCCTAAGAAATAAGGGTGCCTGGGACACGGATGTTTGGTGAATGAATGAACAGATGACAACAGAACTTATTAAAGATCTAGACATGTCCTTATCTCCTACTTTATCCAGGAAAACAAACTGCAAAAGAATTAGTGAATCCTAGTATTCCTTACTGGACTGTTACCCTAATTTTTAAATTCTGCCACATGAAAAAATTCTTACCCCCTCCTCCTATTTCAGCATAGAAGAAGTATGTCACTCATGGGCTTCATTAACTTTATTCAAAATGTGAACTAGAAGTGAAATGGAAACATATGAAGTATACCTAAAAGGAAATATATCAATTTGTGGGGGTGGGGGAGCTGATTTCCTTCAAGACCAGAAGACAGTGGGAAATAGAGAAAGAGGTCCAAACCCAACACAAGATATCCAGTTATATAGGGGAAAATGTATGGCCTTTGGAGTGAGAACCAGCTAAAAACCTTGATCTATCACATATTAGCTCTCTGACTTTGGCCAAGCCAATCAACCTCTTTGAAACTCGAGCTTTTTTGCCTGTATAATGGGAATAATATCTATCTCATAGGCCTGTTGAGAGATTTATACAAGATAACATTATCTGGCATCCAGTAAGCTCTTACTAAATATTCGTTTTCTCAGAATTTAACACAGTGTTTGCTTGGGTATCTCTCAGTATCCGTGGATACTTGTGCTATCCCTGCAGGGTCAGTGCTGCTAACCTGAGTTATTTTCACTCCTCCCTTCTTTCAGAGGCCCTGCCCCTTCTGGAAAACCTAACAATTTCCGACATTAATCCCTACGGGTTCACAATTTCCTGGATGGCATCGGAGAATGCCTTTGACAGCTTCCTAGTAACGGTGGTGGATTCTGGGAAGCTGCTGGACCCCCAGGAATTCACACTTTCAGGAACCCAGAGGAAGTTGGAGCTTAGAGGCCTCATAACTGGAATTGGTTATGAGGTTATGGTCTCTGGCTTCACACAAGGGCACCAAACCAAGCCCTTGAGGGCTGAGATTGTTACAGGTATTTGGATTCAAGTGAGCCATTTTCTCCTCTCCTTGGTTCCCTTCCATGTAATCCATCTACCACATCACCATGGTTTTAACATCCTTGTCCATGTTTCTCTGCTGAATCCATAGATGTGGCCTGTTCTTTTGTGTTTCCCCCACCACACTCTCCCTTGTCTGATGTCTCTACCAAACATTCCTCATCTCCCTCTCCAGAAATGAGAAGGTCAAAATGTTTTCCACTTGGCATCTCAAGTCCTTATTTAGACCATGTCTTGTCCATAGTTCTTGTGTGCTTATTCCACATCACCCTCTTTTGTGTACATCCTGACTGGTCCTCACTTATGCTTCAGCCTTCTCAAAAGAAATATACTGATGAGTATATTTCGAAGACTTACTAACAGCATTTGCCATCTCAAAAATGTCAACTGTGATTTGATAAACTTACCAGGTGGGCTAGTTATTGAAAACCCAACTGCAGACCTATTATACTGGTAAACCCTAATGTCATAGATATTTTTCAACACAGACTAAATCCATAATTTTCTCAAGATGAATAATAATTCCTAGAGACATATAGCATTAACAACATTAACAGTCAAAAATCTGTGTTTCCCAAAGTCTTTCTCCATTTTACTAGTTCCATAGAATATTCAAAGCTCCTACTTGGCGAAGAAGTTCCATGTTGAAATAAGTTTGGAACCACTGAGTTAAATATAGTTTAATAGGATCCTTGACAACAAGGCTTTACAGAATATCTCAATGTGCATGTGTTTCTCCAAGAGGGACTTACCCAGGCAGTATTTGACACTGGGTGCCTTTTAAGGAAGAAGAACAAACGAGAATAGTTTGCTCTGAGTACACTTTGGGAAACTCAGCTCTAACTTTACCTTGACATTGAGTTTTGTCTGGTTAAGGCCATCAGAGACAATACCTTGAGTCCAAAGTATGGGGCACAAGAGGTTTCAAGCCTCAATTCTACCCTCTGAACATTTATCTAATGGTTAAAAAAGCACGCAAAAAATTCAAGAGTGGGAGCATTCTTTAGTACCACGGTTCTGAGAAAAAAGTAAAAAGACCATAACATTTATAACATTTTAAAAGACATTTTGCTCAGGATCAAGGGAAATATAATCAGCAGTATCATCATGGGCAACTCTACAGATCGTTAATACTGGTTTATTTGTCTTTTCAAAGAAAAGAAAAAGGTCTCACAGAGGATGGGCACTCAGCCATTGGAAGACAGAGCAAATGTAAACAAGTTATTGGCTTTGAACTTGTTTAATAACACATGGGAGGGGCCAAAGCAGAGTCCAGATGTGGATTTATAGAATTGCTTTTAGACAAAACTCACATATGCAAGCATCCACTTGGCCTGTATTGAATGTGTGAACTCCATCTTTCCCTTCTCCTAGATCTACTTTGCTTGTGTTGAATAATTTTATTTTCGATATCTCAGGACACTTCTATCTCTGAGAGCCAGGGCCACTGAATACTGACACCCCCACTGGAAAAGAAGATTGCATGGGCTGGTAAATGATGTTCTCTCTCCTCCTCCCACCATTTTCTCCTGTCTAGAAGCCGAGCCAGAAGTTGACAACCTTCTGGTTTCAGATGCCACCCCAGACGGTTTCCGTCTGTCCTGGACAGCTGATGAAGGGGTCTTCGACAGTTTTGTTCTCAAAATCAGAGATACCAAAAAGCAGTCTGAGCCAATGGAAATAACCCTACTTGCCCCCGAACGAACCAGGGACATAACTGGCCTCAAAGAGGCCACTGAGTACGAAATTGAACTCTATGGAATAAGCAGTGGAAGGCGGTCCCAACCAGTCAGTGCTATGGCAACAACAGGTACTGTACATAAACAGGAGTTAATGAGAAGAGTCATGACTTGGGGATCTTCTTTCACAGGGCTGGGAAATTACAAGATCTTTGAATACAGCCAAGCTCTTTCAATTATAGACAGTGTGACTATGGACAATTTGGCTAAGCCTTAATTCAAGAAGAGTGTGATGCCATTTATTGAATGGGGTTTTGAGGATTGAATGAAGTAATTCACAGAAAGCCCATAGTGGAGGATCTGGTGCATAGCAAGAGCTCAGTAAATTAAAGCTATTTGGATTTTCATTGTTTTCATTAATACATCATCATCATAATGATTGCATTTTTTTCAATTCCAAAGACCCTTCTTTAAGGCTATTACCCCATCTTTTTTTTATGCAGAGGTATAATTCCTTGTTCTTTGGTCAAATGTTTGACCTTAGAGCATGCAGGGCATAATGGAAAAGTGGTACCTCCACCTATAAAAATGAATATTTAGCAGATGCTCTGTGTGAATAATCAGTACCGTGATCAGGAAGGATCAAAGGAGGGAGCTGGCAAGGTCAACAGGCTGCTCTTCATGAAGCTCACTGATTTGATGTGATACTCATAACAACTCTAAAAGGCACTAGAGGGGGAAATGCAAACCCTTTTCCATGTGATTTGTTTCAAGGAGAAAAAAAGGAAGTCAATTGATAATGGACTGTTTAGAGGGAAAGACCTATAACAGGTAGGGTGAATTCCTTTCTGAAATTGAGGGAGAAGGAGAGACATAGCACTCCCTAGAGACAGGATGCTTCAAAGAGGGATCAGAAGAAAGAATCGCAAAAACACAAGGATGGCTAAAAGGGACCAGAGGATGGGTATAGCCCACCCTCTTCTGTTTGTGCATGAAAAATCTGTGGCCCAGAAAGCTGATGTGATTTGCCTAATGTCACATGGCCAGGTTTGGGGTAGAACCCAAATGCCAACTTATTTTCATTACTACTAAATAAATATAAGCAGGCTGGATGACAGCTAACCAACGAATGTACATACTTGCCCTCTTCGACAGGCATTGAGCACACTAGCCAAACCCTCTCTTTGTCCAGAGGTGGGTATTTTATTATGTCAAGTTTCAGGACCTAGTGAGCTAGGAGACACAACCTACAGAAACCATAATCAGTATTTGTAGGCGTGGAGGAAATGCTGAAATGCAGACAGCAGTTCAGTCAGAGGAAAACTCCTGTTTCTTATTAACTTGGACACTCGACTCCTGGGATGCGGGTCTTTGTCTCCTCCCTTGCTGTGGCTGCCCATAAAACAGCTTGAGATCAGAGACGGGGCCTGATTTTGACCTTGGTTTATAAACATTGCCTTTCAAAGTTTACTTCTGATCACTGATTTTGTTTTGCTGATCTTTTTCTCTAGAGGCCTTACAGTGCTAAAACAAAAAAAAAAAAAAAAGAGAGAGAGAGAGAGAGAAAATGAATAAGCAAGAGCTTTTTTTTTTTTTTTTTAAGAACAAAAGAAAAAAAAAGCAGACCCTGTGCTTTGGAAAGTTCTTTCTTTGGGCTTTGTATTTCATAGCCAACGTGTGTGTGTGCATGTGTGCATGTGTGCATGCGTATGCGTGTGCACATGTGTGCCTGAATCCCCTGCCTCTGTACTTAGAGAAGACAGGAGAGGTGACCCCATTAGAAAGCACACGTCTGATTCCACAATCACCTCATCAGCTTTAGAAAGTTTCCCTTCTGTTTTTCTATCCTTCCTCCTCTTTCCTTCCCTGCACAGTAATAAACCCTTCTCTGAGATGTTCTGTTCCTCTTTATCCTCATAAACGCTGCTTCAGGGTCCCCTCTGGCTCCCTGCGCACAAGCTGCTACAGCACCAAGTGCCCAGCAGCAGGGAGGGCTGTCAGGGGCAGCGTGCTGACTGGTGTGGCCTGGAGCCTCTGGGCAGATTCCCTGGAGTCTAATCCTTGCTCTACCAGCCATGTGATCTCAGGCAAGTCCTTTCTTCTCTGAGTGTCAGTCCCCTCATCTGGCAAGTAGAATTGAACTTAGAATTCAGCCATGAGGTTTAAATAAGACCATGAATGTTGAGTATTCCGTTGCCTTGCCCATTGTAGAAATATTAGCTATTCTTATGTCTGGATGATTTCACGTAAGTGTTATTTTTTAATGGGCCACTTGGCTCAAAATTCAAAAATTAAAAAAAGATACCTAGCAAAGTCTCTATTCAGCTATGTCCCTACTACCCAGTTGCTCTATATGGAGGCAGCCAATATTGCCACTTTCTTGTCTGCACAAATAAACAAAATTGACATAAATCTAAGCTCTCCTTTTTAAATTTTGTTGGGGAAACACTCTTGTGCACACTGGAGTATGTGTGTTTCTGGCTTATTAGCTCTGAGAGACAATCCCATGAGCCTTATTTACTTAACTATTCCCCTACTGGTGGAGACTTAGGTCATAAGTTTTTGTTGAGTCTGGTCATCCGTGCATTTGCAATGGCTCCTCTTCCCCTCTGTGGTTTGAGCCACATCTTCACTGCAGCCATGGCTCTCTTTGGAAAGCCCAGTTACCAGAAGCATCCTTGCCACTGGGGAGTTAAACACCACTGTGCCCAAATAGAGGGTCCCCAGAATAAATAGAAAATAGTTAAAAATCCAACAACAGAGCATGATGGCTTTATCCTTCTCCTCTGGAGTTTCTAGTGCTCAGTGAGGAGCCTGAAATGCTTCCTTAGCCTGTCCCCATCACTGCATCCAGACACACACACACACCCCCAGTACTCCCTTCCTCCCTGGAGGCCATTGAGGGAGAGTCAGTGTCCCTTCTCCCAACTCCCAGAATGTGCCCCCCATTCCTCCCTAACATCCCTTTCCCTGCCAGGCAGCCTGCAAATCCTCCGCTCACCTCTGGCTCAGAGGCACTGGAAACCACACACCAGAGTTGCAACGGCCTTGTGCCTGGGGTCCTGACTCAGCAGGTCTGCAGATACCCTTGCTTAGCAATCTTTCCTTCTATACGAACCAGGCTCTTTACACTTGATGCCTCTGGTTCTGACTCCCATGAAGCATAAAGATAGTGACCACCCATTATAGAGCATGCTCTCCATGCCACATGCAGCCTGGCAATGGACACACTGAATCACCATGGTCCAGCCAGACCGGGAGGGCCATAGTCAGTTCCACTTCACAGAAGGGAAACTGAGATCTCAGGGGGTAAGGTGTTTTTAGCAGGTAAGGCCAGAAGGGATTTCAAACCCAGGATAGTCTAACTTAAAAATCCTTGCTCTTAAACCATACTGGCTACAGTAGCTGTCCCCTTAGCTTAATATAGGACTTCGGACATATGAAGTGTTCAAAAAAAAAGTATGTTGAAGGGAGAATACATTTTCGAAGCTGATTATCAAGGGCCATGCAATTAAAGCAATGGACAATTGCTCCCGATTTGAGGAGACAACTTTTTATGCAAATTGAAGATAAAAGCCCTCTTCAACCTCCTTGTCAGTTTTTAACAATTCCAGATGTTTCTGTAATGGCATTTTTATTGAAAAGCAAGCATCCACTTGGGAAGAGAGACAGAGGCATTGCCTTGCTTGGGTCTTCGCAACTTTTCAATAGTATGATTTAGTTGCTGTGTGAGGCTCTGTCTTCAGCTTCCCATTGACCATCTCCTTTGCTGTTGTCCTGGACACTTCTGGGCACTATTTACAGCAGAAGGAGATATGCTAAAATGACAAATAGTCCTCCACACCTAGAAAGGCCTATTGTCCCAAACTATCACCCCGCTGGAATTCCATCACTACCATGTCATTCCTTCAGGTTATAATACATGGCTGTTTTCCTGCCACTCTAATCAGGCACATCCCTCAGATGGGCACATTGTAGGAGGCTGCTAATTCTTATGGTTTCTAAGACATGGCAGATAATATTGTGTTTTGTAGCTGAGAAAACCTAGGATCTGTAGAAACAAAAGCCATGGCCACAAAGATACATCTAAAATGTGCTAGGTCTTGCACCAGTGAGGTCTGCAGTCAGAATGAAAGGCAGTGTGGACCGAGGCGAGCTGCTGGAGAGCCACAGTGCCTGCGTCTACACACCTCACTGGGGTTTGTCGGTTTGTCTTCAGCCAACCTCATCTAGATCTTTCTTGGAAGTTACTTCAAAGTCCAGGGTAGCCCATGGTAAAAAAAGAGTTACATGGGAAAGAAAGAGAGAACAATCACGTTTACCGAATTCTTACTTCATGCCAGATTCTGTTAGGGGTTTTATGTCTTTTAGCTCTGCTAATCCTAAAAATATTCTTATAGGTGGGCATCATTTTTCCCACTGGAAAGATGGAGCAGCTGGGGCTCACAGAAGTGAAGGGACTTGCCTCCAGGTTGCCCAGGCCCTCTGTGGTATTTGGACAATCAAGATCTTCTGGGTTCCAGACAGAGCCCTTGTGGTTTCCAAAGCTTTCCAAGGAGAGGGCAAAACCCCAGTCAACCCCTCCAGAGTGTGGAGGTGCTACCAGGTCACAGGAGAAAGTCAAAAGAGGAGAGAAAAAGTAATGGAGAGGGAAGAAAAACATTTCCCCACAGTGGGCTGTGGGTTTTAAAACTTAATGATCAACGTGGGTTGGAGAGGGGAGAGATGAAAAACAAGCTCCCTGGGGGCCTGAAAATTGTTCCCTGAACTCTCTGGTTAAACATGGTCAGCTAAAGAGGCACAGAGCCAAGCCAAGAAATACACAAAGCAAAGCCAACGGAAACTGGGTTTGGGGAGGAGGTACTTATGTAGCAGAAACTGTCCCCTGGGCACAGCTTTCCCCCAAGGTAGACCCAGTGTGCCGGAGGTGTTTGCTTTGTCTACTCTCCTGGTTCTGGACCTCCATCCAGTTCTGCGAATGGGCTTGTCAAGGTCAGTTTCCATGTTAACATTATTTCCAGGATTCCAGCCCGCTCTGCTGCCCAGTCCTGAGACCCATAAAGGTCACACCACAACAATGTGCATTAGAGAACCACGCCTCAATTTACTCCTCTGTAAAATGGCTACAACCACACCTTCTCAGGGGTTTTTAAATGAGGGTTAATTCCAATCAGTTGCAAAGAACCATACCACTGTCAAGGCTTAGGATCGTTTAATAAAAGGAGCTACAAAGCAAAGATTTGGGAAAAAAATGCTAAAACTGAATAAATAATAGGATGGCATATTCCAAGCTGCAAAACCAGCCACCCTCACTTCTTTAGATGTCAGCTGTGGTGTTAACAATCTACTGAAGTGAAACCTAATGGCTGCTTTACAGCCCTGGGCCCATGTTGTTTCTATCAAGTCACCACTTGACCCCAGACCATCACATTCTCCATCCTAAAGGCTTGGCTCAGCCACAAACTCTAGGGGCTGTGTTTTCCTGGATAAGGAATCCAGGAAGACTCACTGATGAGCAAGATGGTTGACTGTTTCTGGGTTTCTCCTGTGCTTTTTCCTTGACAGCCATGGGCTCTCCGAAGGAAATCAGTTTCTCAGACATCACTGAAAACTCAGCCACTGTCAGCTGGATGGCACCCTCTGCCCAGGTGGAGAGCTTCCGGATCACCTATGTCCCTGTTGGAGGAGGTAAGGAGAAGGAGAAAAGGAGATGGGAGGAGCAGCCTGGAGAGTTTGAGTGGGATAGTGAAGAGACCCTGATAATTCCCATCTTCCCCAAATATGACCAAAGAAAATTATTTCCTTCTATTTGAGACCACCTCTGTAGATTTGATTTGTGAAGTGCTCTAAGATCCTTACAAGAATTACCTTATGAAGTGTCATTTTATGAAGACCCTATCCAGCCTTGAAATTCTGAACTTCTGTAAGAAATGGACCCTGGGCACCTGGATAACTCAGTCGGTTAAGCATCCGACTTCTGTTCAGGTCATAATCTCATAGTTTGTGAGTTCAAGCCCTGCATTGGGCTCAGTGCTGACAGCTTGGAGCCTGGAGTCTGCTTCAGATTCTGTGTCTCCCCTCCGCCCTCTACCCCTCCTCTGCTTGTGCTCTGTCTCTCTCTCTCTCTTTCTCTCTCTCTCTCTCTCTGTGTGTGTGTATCTCAAAAACAAACATTTAAAAAAAATTTAAAAAGAAATGGACTCCAATGTTGTTTTCTCACAATGGTAGAGACTAAATACACTGGCCTTTTTCTCTTTGAGCACACTTATCTGAAAAGTTAATCTTGACCTGGATACATGTGAGGTTTTACCCTTTGATTTCCAAATCTTCCTGTCTTAGTAGAGATGGGGAGTTGTGACTTAGTAGAGCTGAGAGTTTTAGTCCAGCACACAGGAGCCACACCAAAGACCATGCTTGGCGGGGGGGCAGAAGGGGATGCACAGTCAAATCTGCTTAAAGATATTCTGGCAAGTGAAAGTGTATACTTAAAGGATGGTTGATACTTCTTCAAAAGAATGATGTAGCAGCCCAATGGAAGTTTGGCCAGCCAGTATACAAGATCCTCACCAGCCCTGAAAGTCTAAGAAGTATACATTTTGGCCTTTTCAATAAATATAAGAGTATGAACTTGACTATGACCATCTTCTTTTCTTAAAGAGTAGGATCTCTGCTAGTAAGGGAGTCTATGTATTCCAAAGCTAAGACAATGAGTTAAATATACCAGATATACATTACAGAGTGAGCTTTTCATATTCTTTGTGGGAAAAATAAATAAATAAAATGTGCACAGCATGCCAACTCTCTACTGAACGGAAACTTGCCATTTTTAGCACATTCTGATTTCATGTTTTTTTCCTCTCCTGGCTTGGTTTTTGGCATCTGCACTGATGGCAAAAAAGCATTATACAAAAAGTAAGACCTCTTTTCCTATGCCAGAGGGTAGGAGCAAATGAGAGGAAATCAAGAAAGTGGTACTGGATAAAGGCAGTTTCATTTCCAAATTGGACACACCATTCTTGGGGCAATGGTGTATCTCAGTGCAGTTCACCCTTCCTGATCCTGCTTTTGCCATGTTCCAGGGACACCCTCAGTGGTAACTGTGGACGGAACCAAGACTCAGACCAGGCTGATGAAGCTCTTGCCCGGAGCGGAGTACCTCGTCAGCGTCATCGCCATGAAGGGCTTCGAGGAAAGCGAACCGATCTCAGGATCCTTCACCACAGGTGTTTTTCCCATCTTCCGTATTATTGCTCATGACTCAGCAGCTGGAAACTTTTCTTTTACTTGGGACATCCTGGTGGAAAATGGACTGAATTTGGAGCTCAGGAGACCTCATTTCTGGCCCATCCCCAGCCTTTTATGGGCAGGGTAAACTTGACGTCATTCTTACCCTCCCGGGGCCTCCATTTCTTGGGTTAGTGTGGGAGAAAGAGCACAAGTTTGGGGTCATACTGACCTGGATTGAAATCCCAAGTCTACCACTTCTAGATACATGAACTGTCGGTTAATTTTTCTAGGATCTAGTTTCCTTCACTGTAAAATGGGTACAGTGCTGCTTCCTTTGCAGGGTGCTGTAAGGATCACATGAAATGATACCTGTAAGGCATTCGTAAAATGTAAATGACTGTGCACATTAATCCTCCTCCTTCCCCCCCTGCCTATTGAGAGGGTCCTTCCAAGCAGGTGCTTCACACTGATGTGTAATGGGGACAGCCATGAAGTAACAACTCTTGGTTGAGCAGTTACTGTATTCCAGGCACTGTTACTAAACCCTTTGCAGTTAAAGCATTAAAATGGCTGTTATCATTCCCATTTTGCAGAGGACACAACTAAGATCAGGGAAATTAAATACCTTGGCCAAGGCCACAGAACTAGTGATGGCTGAAGCAAACTTGAACTTGGGTCAGCCTCACTCCAAGCCCTGTGTTCTTCTAAAATAGATGATTATTGTTCTATTATAACCTGATTTGTGCAGCATGCTGTAAGGAGGGGGGGAATAATGAATTGCACTGAAGGAGAGTGAAGTGGAAAATTTCTTTTCAGGGAGCCATGTCTCTGAACAATTTATCCTTTGATAGACAAGCAATTATCCAGAGTAATCCATTAAGGGATCCAAAGAATGGGCCTCATAGGAAATTTTAAAAATATCCTTAGTCTAAAAAAGTTGATAATATGCAATTAAAACATCCCGTCTGAACCCAGAGTCCTGTCTGCCCTGCCACACAGGCCCTATTTCCCCCATAGAAATCTTTCATTCATGGAATCTCCGCGGCAACAGATTGCAAAAGCTGGATGCACTTCCTCCTGAGGCCCATTGTCCTTGGCATTTAAAGGAAATTCTGTACAGGCAGGCTGAAACAGGAAGGAACTTGGAGCAGACCGTGCAGGCTTCCAAAATTACTCTGCCTCCTCTTGCTTCTCAGGCCAGTCATCACATCCCTCAGAATTCAGGAGTCTCGTCTTTGAAATAAACTAATGATCACTGCCCTCCACCCTTCCAGGGCCATTGTCCTGGAATAACTGAGTAATAAATGGAAATGCAATGGGGCAACAGTCATATTTAGGTTAGTTTCTGAGAAAGGGATGTTGGGTAGTAGTAGTGGTCAGTTAAACAGGCCAAGGCCCTCAGAATATGCATCCTTCATCAGTACAGGTTATTTGGGAATTATATCTAAGATATGATTATGTCTAAGAATCATATCCAATAACTTTAATAGTCATGTTAATAAAAGAAGCTGTAGGGACACCTGGGTGGTTCAGTTGGTTAAGCATCCAACTCTTGATTTCGGTTCAGGTCATGATCTCATGGGTCATGAGATTAAATCCCACATCAGGCTCTGCACTGGGTGTGGAGCCTGCTTGGAGTTCTCTCTCTTTCTCCCTCTGCCCCTTCTCCTCCCTCAAAAGTAAAAAAGTAATAATAGCAGCTTCAGTGAGCTAGTGCTACCCCAGCACATTTCACACACATCGTCTAGTCCATCCTTATAGCAGCTGCCCTCTGACACCTAAAGAAAGTGAGGTTGGAGAAGGGCACACAGATACTAGGCAGGGAAGCTGTGGCAGAACCCGGGATCGCAGCGTGGGGCCCGGCTCTGTGTTGCCTACAAGCCACCTACTGGTGCTATCATTCAAAGCCCAGAAGAGCCTCTGGTAGCCTATGCCCCCTATTTTTGTAACAAGTGATATGAACTATAACAGTAACCCTCATCGTGTGCCCAGCCCTTTACAGTTTATATAGCTCCTTTCCACCTCTAATAGCATGTGAGCATCAAAACAGCACTGAGGATAAAGCCAGAAAGAATCAATATCCCCATGTTACAAGTAGGGGAGTAGAGATCCAAGATAACCTAACCAGCAAGGGAAGGAATCATGACTCCAACCAAGGTGGTCCTGACTCCAGACTCAACTTGGAACTGTTCACACAATGAGCACTATGTCCCAACCCCAACACCAGGAGTCCAGGAGCAGGGAGATCGCAGAGCAGCTGTGTCTGATGTCCTACACCCTTAACTACCTGTCTCTCTAACACATCTTCACCTTTCTTTGCAGCCCTGGATGGCCCATCTGGCCTGGTGACAGCCAACATCACTGACTCGGAAGCCTTGGCCATGTGGCAGCCAGCCATTGCCCCGGTGGACAGTTACGTCATCTCCTACACAGGGGAGAGAGGTAAGGTCGTGTCTAAGACCCTCCCCACCAGGAGGAGTGTCTGTCCTCCTGTTCTCCCTCCTCCCTGCCATGTTTGGGCTTGGATGGCAAAAATACATGGGTAGGTTGGAAGGCCAGTGACGTCTTTGTGGCTGTCGACATCAGAATAGACTCATGGGCTGATGGCTGGGGCTGGATGGGTGGGTGTGGAGGGCCCGGCCAGGCTGACGGCAAGGGAGGCCTTGCCCATCCTCCTCTGCTTGTTGACGAGTAAAGAGCATCAGTGTTGTGGCTACACCAAGGAAAGCTGGGAGGTCATTTCAAGGAAAACAAAGAAAGAGCACATCTCCAGGCTGCATGTGTTTCCCCAGCCTGTCCCTCCTCCTCTGTTAGTCTAGGCTGTCACCGTGAGACTCCCTCTCTAGGCAGCAGCTCTCATTTCTTACAAAGAATAAGTTCAAAATCTTGAGTCTTAAACAGGCCATTCCAGGGGCACATCCAACTTCAGCTCAGGTCATGATCTCACAGCTCATGAGTTCGAGCCCCATGTCATCCTCTGTGCTTACAGCTCAGAGCCTGGAGCCTGCTTCAGATTCTGTGTGTCTCTCTCTGTGTGTGCCCTGCCCCTGCTCATGCTCTGTCTCTCTCTCTCTCTTTTTAATGTTTTATTTATTTCTAGGAGAGAGAGAGAGAGAGAGACAGCGTGAGCAGGGGAGGGTCAGAGAGAGAGGGAGTCATAGACTCCGAAACAAGCTCCAGGCTCCAAGCTGGCAGTCAGCACAGAGCCCAACATGGGGCTTGAACCCATAAACCGTGTGATCATGACCTGAGCCGAAGTCGGATGCTTAACCAACTAAGATACCCAGGCGCCCCTCTGTCTCTTTCTTAAAAATAAATAAACATTAAAAAAGTTTTAATGGTTAGATTATTATAAAAAATAAAATAAACAGGCCATTTCATGAGGTGTTGGGAGCCTGGGATTCTTAGAGGCCACAGAGGGGGCCAGTTATAACAGGTGTGACTAAGAAATCAGAAATGATTTCTCCTTGTCGTTGCAGACATATGTGCTAATTCATTTACTCAGTTGTAAGACTAAACACTTGTTTGGGGCACCAGCACACCATGGCCACTGAAATGTAAGATCAAATGCAAATAAGAGAGAGGAGAAAGAGATTTATTTTCAGTGAATGAATTCGTGCTTTTGTAATGAGCTTCCCTAGAAAAACGCTTTCCCATCTTAATCCCCAAGCATATGGAAGTTTCATATTTTATGGCTCAGTATTGTTTTACTTGCAGTGACAATATGAGAAGCGTCTTAACTGTGCCTGGGGCCTCTGAAAATCTTAATTCACCCTTGGCCATTACCTAAGAGAGTTCTTTATAAGCATAAAGCAAGTTGGGGGGTAAGGGAAGAGAGATTCTGGGGCTTATTCTTTTTACTCTTCTATTCATTAGATGAATTCATTAATTCATTTATCTCTTCAGTTCTTAAATATCCCCTAAGAGCAAACCCCTCCGAGTCAGGGAAGCTGCTGTTATTGTGCCTTCAGTAGATCAGAGTAGATTCACAGCCATTATGGAACTAGTAGAGGAAGGCCTGGAAAAGGGGGTTTCATGGATGACAGACAGGATGACCAATTCATCCCAGTTTACCCAGGACTTTCCTAGTTTTCAGCACTAACAGCCCCACACCCTGAGAAACCTCTCAGTCCCTGGCAAGCCAGGATGGTCAGCCACCTATGATTTGAAAATAAACACAAACACCTGGCATCACGGTTCAGTATCCAACCCTGGCCTTGACCCGAAGGGGTCTGGGAGGCAATAACCAGGCTCTGGAGTGTCTGCAGCTGCCCAATTTTGGGGCTGCCCCAGCCTCGTGATTTGACATCTGTCAAATTATAAAAGAACATGACAGTAAATGAAAAGGAGGTGAGAGCAAGCAATGGGACACATTAAATCGGGGCAGCTGAGGCTCGAGGATGTTAGCTACAGCTCTCTTCTAGCCAGTTCCCACACCTCAGCTGCAAAGCTGCCCCAGCCAGCACCACGTGGAAAAACTTGCTTCCCTGCCCCCCTTCCTTCCGGATTTGGTGCCCAGAAAAATCCAGTCTCTGTGTGATAAATCCTTTGTATATGAGGTGAGTGCTCAAGAGAGAGAAAAGGGTGTGTCATTTCAGAAAGCAAACCTGCCTTTCTGCAGGGTCGTGGAAAATTTTTGCTAGAAGTAGCTGTGTGTGCCATGTGCCAGGTATACTGATGGCTCACACGGGGAGAGGTAACCACCTCGGTGTGTGTGTTTTATATTTAGTGCCAGAAATTACACGCACGGTGTCCGGGAACACAGTGGAGTATGGTCTGACTGACCTCGAGCCTGCCACAGAATACGTGCTGAGGATCTTTGCAGAGAAAGGGCCTCAGAAGAGCTCAGTCATCACAACCAGGTTCACAACAGGTACCAAGACTCCGGGAGCAGGAAGACATCCACCCACCCACAGCCTCCATCTTCAGTGGTCATGCTCTCCAACCTTCTTTCTGAAGTCCGATCTTTGCAATGTGATGACGTCAGCATCAGCTAAACTCACCAGTGCCCACTCAATCAGGACCTTAAGAAACACCATTCACTTTTGAACTGAAATGACCTTGTTCTCCCCATGGACTAGGAAATAGTTTTAAAATGAGGGCTTTTTAAGTGGAAAGCCAGTCCCCACTGGCCCCAAACCCAGTATTTAATGATCCATGTTCTAGGCAGGGAAGTATTTTTAAGAGAAAGATTTTTCAGGCATGTTTTCCTAGATGCCCATTGGGTTTTTATACATTGAGATCTTCTTACAAACTATGACAAGCAGGGAAATAGAAGAAGCATCCTCTCAGTAGAGGTGAATGCCAATATCAGCATTCATCTGTCCTGTTACTGAAGAGCAAGAGAGGTTGGTAATTATGTTCACAGCTGTGTCTTTCTCCCTAAATCCACCCAAGGCCAATCAAGAGAACGTCGGGCTCAGGAAAATCTGGCCCTTAGGATGAAATGAACCACAGAGAATTATGTTTAGAGATCACATGACTCAACCACCTCATCTACTGATGGGGAAGGTTCTGCCCAAGGTCATACAGGTCAGTGTCAGGGAAAGGACTTGAACACAGGCTTCCTGATAACCCAGCCAGGGATTTTTGTCCTATAGTTGCTGATGTATTTGATAATAAATGACTTATCTTCCACAGACCTTGATTCTCCAAGAGACTTGACTGCTACTGACGTTCAGTCGGAAACTGCTCTCCTCACCTGGAGGCCCCCCAGAGCATCTGTCACCGGTTACCTATTGGTGTATGAATCCGTGGATGGTACAGTCAAGGTACTTAAAGTATATAAACTCCTCACTGCTGTTTGAAACATGTACATGATCCTCAGAAGAGAAAAGAATTACCCTGGGGCTATTTCTCCCCCGCGCAGCTAGGGAGCTGAGAAAAAAAAACAAATTAATAGAGACTAAATGTCATGCCAGACCTTCTGAATCATATGCTCCAGCCTCCCTGTCTCATTTTAACCAGACTTCAGTTTTGATAGCCCGCCAAGATCAAAAACCACTGCTCACAAGACTTGAGGACATTTTTGGAGCTGGATTCATGGTCCTTTAATGTTTTTTAAGCCAAAGCCAAGGACTTCTTTGGCGCATTTGCCATATTTACAATGTCACAGACAGCATCATTCCATTAGATATTGAGCATACATCATCATGTTCTTATGCCATCAACATTAATACTATTTATAGCAATTGTTATTTATATTCTCTATTCTTTAACTTTCCAAGTTGAAGTAACTTTAGCCGTTCCTTTCACACAAGTGAGCTTTATCTCTAAACTTTATTTTCTAAACTTGTTACTGAATTTTTAATTTTGGTCATCATACTTTACGTTTCCAAGATCTTTTACTTATTCCCTGTTCATTTACCATTTTCTAGCGTATTGTTTATATTCCGTGTATAATCTTCTCTATATCTCTAAGAATATATGTTACTGGTATATTATTCTACAACCTGAATAGTGTCTCTTCCAAGGTTTTTTTCCTTCCTTGCTTGCTTGTTTTGTTTGGGTCTTCTTTCATGTTTGAGACTCCCACCCAATTCCTGATGGTCCTTTTTGTGCTTGAGCCAAGAGTGAAACAGTTTATTGGGAGCTCCACATGCATGCATAGGTCTGGTCAACTATGGGTAGAGTGGGTAAGCAAGTATCCAGTCATTTTGTTGGGGGGCTCACAAATAGGGGTACCATAAGCCTTTTCTCTTGAGCTAATCTATCTCCCTAGAAGATCCTCCAGCCCCTTCAAACCAAACTGCCAGGAGCATAGCTGGAGGAAGAGCCTGGGCTCCTATGTGAACAAACCTTCATTTCTGTTTCCACTATAGCACCACTGAGCCTGGTGGATTTCAATCCAGAGTCTTCTCTCTGGCTCAGTCTCTCCAGAAAGTAAACCTCAGCCTTTCATCCGGACTGGGAAGGGCAATCCTCTAGATTGTTGGAGGATGGGGAAAACTTGGAATCTGTTCCTTATTTAAGCTTTTAAACACACTTTTGTTAAGCCATGCCCCCACACTAGCCTTCAAAGGCGCCTTTGCTTTTGTACACATTCCATTCCTGAACTTGCTGGGCTCTGTGGTGTTCGTCAACCCGCTTCTGACTGGCCCCACCCCCTTAGCCGGTTATGCCTCAGCTCTCTCGACTCTGCCCCCTCACCTGTCACTCCACGGCACCCCTTCCCAACTGTCAAGACCCTGTTGACATTGTGTGCCTGTCTGTCTCCTCTGTTCTCCACCTCCTCCTCGTGGGCTTATACTTTATATCCCTTTACCCTCACTGTAGTGGGTTTCAGAAGAAGATAGAGCTAAACTGGCTCTGCCATGTTTAACTAGCAGGGGACACACATTTCCAGTCACTGCCATGGCCCTTCTTTGAGTTGAAATAATAATAACTAACTTCCTGTGTGCGTGAAGGCAAGTCCTTTACACAAGTCCCTTTTGTCAGTGTTCACATATGTAAAACGAATGCATTGGATTCACCAATCTTGAATGTCCCTTCCCAGCCAGGCATTCTAGGACTTTGTTTGCCTGAAGTCCTGAACCTCATTTTGGTCTACCCTGATTGCATAGAAAGCAACTTTGCACAGCAGCCAAGAGAGCTGTGAGGTAACTGAATCCCCCAAGTAATTCAATGAACCCAGCTTCATACTTGACCCTTCCCTAGAGACCAGACCTGGGGACCACACACAGGTCACTGGGTCACTAGTGTCAGCTTACTGACTTTCCTGCATGTCCAATCCCTAACTTTCTATGTTTCACCCAAGAAAATCAACCTGGTGAAGGAGGAAACAGTCCTGGGCAGGGTGTTAGGAGACAGGATGCATCTTCTGCCACCAACAAGTCTCTCAGCAACTCTGAAATTCAGCCCCCACCCTCCATTTGGAAGAATCGGGGTAACCTCACCTGCCCAGTGTGACAATGTGTGAGAACCTTCCAGGCACCTCCACACTGACTCATTATGTCCTACACCTTGTTGGCTGTGTTTGCAGGCTGTAGGCAGCACTGCTGAGTTTGGTTTGCTAGAAGCATAGGTTAAATTTCAATTCCAGACACCAAGGTCATCTGCTAAAAGGTGAATTCTCAGGCACTGGAAGCTCGAAAGAGCATTTGAAAAGGAAGAAGATCTCCTGAAAGCTGAAACCAGTGTCCTGTGGACAGCAGCCCAGTGAGCAAAGTCACAAACTACAGGTGTAGGTAGGAGAGGTCTGGGAGTAGAGGCAAACATACACCTCTCCTGGACAGTTCTGTTCTAGAAAAGAGACATGCGGGCTCAGCTCAGACTTCCACTATGCCCTACCTGCTGAGGTACTGCAATTGTCCCCTGGCTCAGGACATCCCCGGGCTAACTGTATCAGAATCATCTGACAAGCTTCCTAAATATGCACCTGGCAGAGCTCCACTTCGGGCTCTTAAGATGCAGTCAGTCTGCAGTGGGGCCCAGATGTTATATTATTTTATAGTTTCCCAGAGGACTATGAAAAAGAGCCATATTAGGGACCTCTAGTATAACTGGTCAAAGTCTAAACCTTTTGCCCTTTGCGTGATTCATCTTGCCACCAAGTTAAGCTGGGTTCACATCATTCACTTGTTCAAAAACCCTGTTGGGAATATGCATTCCTTATCATGATAAAATTCAATTTTCATAGCTTGGCATTTAAGTCTCTTTGTCATTTGGTCTTTTCCCACTTCTTCTACCACTCTATCACCTAAAACCAAGTGTGGTTGAGATCAATCAGTACCTCCTCATATTATTTTAATTTGCTTACCCCCTCTGGCCTTAGGACCTTTGCTTATGCTACACTTTCCCCACCTCTGATGTCCCAGGAGTAAGCATGGAGCCTGACACAGAGTGAGACTCAGTGGAGTCTTCTGAATGAAGAAATGAATGGATGGATGAATGAATGAGTGTATCATCTGTACCCTGATGATTTATGTGGTCAAAAGCTATTATATTCTTTCTTCTGCCCTTAGGAAGTCATTGTGGGCCCAGAAACCACCTCCTATAGCCTGGCGGAACTGAGCCCATCTACCCACTACACAGCCAAGATCCAGGCATTGAATGGGCCCCTGAGGAGCAAGCTGGTCCAGACCATCTTTACCACAAGTAAGGGCCTCAGGGTATAGCTGCGCTCTGAGATCAAACTTTGTGAGACTAGACCAACCCTCCACTTCTCTGACTCTGGCTACATTTTTCCATCAACCTTCTTAAACGGATCAATGTCTTGCTACTACCTGAAAGCCTGATGAATGTGGGTACAGGAGGTTAAGGACCTCATGATGAAAGGGAAAGAGGGTCAGTAGTGAGACATCTGGATTCAATCCCTAGCTCCACCACTTGCTCTTGTGTGATTTAGGAAAGTTGCTGTCATTCTACAAGCCTCAGTTTCTTTATCTGTACAATGGGATCAGTAAGCATCCCTTCCTCACAAGGACCTTGAACTCCTAGCCCAGGGTATGGTTCATGGTCAGGGCTCATCATAAGCTATGTCCCTTCTTTTCTCTTTCATCATGTCAGCATTTGCAAAGCCTGTCCAATTCAAAATCAAAAGCAGTGCTCCCACTAAGCTGGTGGGATTATCATGCCCAGTTTTCTGTCGGGGTGGCAGAGGCTCCCAGACATGAAAGTGACCTGCTGAAGGCTACATAGCATGAGTTAGAGTCTGATCTGGGCTCAGATGTTCCAGGCCCAGGGAACCACCCCTGCACCCTGGACACTGGCTGTCTTTGGCAGATGGAGAATGTGCAAGGCATTTCACTGGTGAATTAAGAGGAAGCATGCCTTCCTGAGGGAGGGGGAAATCAGCCTTTGGAAAGGCCTGAGTGTGGGGTACACAGAGTGCATTCCTGTGCTGCCTCCCGCCCCTCACACTCCCCTCAAGTAACTCTGCACACACCTGCTGAGGGAGGTGAAAAATCAAAAGTTATCACTTTGCCAGATCTCATGCCGGGTGCTGGGAGCACAGAAATTTGAATGTGCTTTAAAGGTGCTCCCAGACCAGAGTCAGAAAAGAAACAAGGAAACAGCTAAGGATACAACCTCCAGTGAAGGTGCAGTACAGGTAGGTCAGATCAGAAAAAAGAACTGCTGTGACCATCAGGTCTCTGTCCTACCTGCTTAGCATAGTCCCAAGATCGTCTATGTCTCTCAAGTTCTATACTTTTTGCATCACACTGTTGCATTTGGAAATTCCCTAGGAATTCCCTCTAAGACTCCCAGGCTCAGAGCAGTCAAGTGACTTCTCCAGTGTCTCAAGGCAAGGAAGTATAAGTGTAGGACTAGAATCCTTGTCTCTGGCTTCCAAACCCTCTGAAAAGATTGAGATGCATCATTATTAGATGGCCAGCAGAGTGTCCTGACCCACAGCGAGTCGCCTGTTGGTGCTGAAGACCCAGCCATCTGGCCGGGACCTGGGTCTTCATCAGGTGCTGGCTGGCTGCTCAAGGTAGATCAAGGTCAGCTTGAATCATGCCCCTCACAGGGGCTCAGCTCTCCTCCCACTGATGTCAGTGGTGGTTTCCAAGAATATAAGAGACTGAGTTAGGTCCCTTATGTCCATAACCTCCAAAGCCTCATTGTAACCCCCACAAAATGGGTTTTATGCTCATCTTGCACATAAGAGAGCAGAACCACCGAGAAGTTAAGTGCCTGCTCATAGACATCTAGCCAACGCACAGTAGAGCTGCCATTTGAAAGCCCTCACCCAACCCCCTTTCTCTAAGAGGGTCATGCTGCCGTCTTATCCCACAGTTGGACTCCTGTACCCATTCCCCAAGGACTGCTCCCAAGCAATGCTGAATGGAGACACGACCTCTGGCCTCTACACCATTTATCTGAATGGCGATAAGGCGCAGGCTCTGGAAGTCTTCTGTGACATGACCTCTGATGGGGGTGGATGGATTGTGAGTACCTCCGAGACAGGCTCCAGAGCTCTTGGGCAGGGAGCATGGGTGCAGAGGACGCAGCAGGGGTATGGAGGGGGGCGGGGGAGGTCCTCCCCGTGCACTCAGACACCAGCATGCATGAGGTTTTGCAACACAGTGCCTGTCACGCAGGGACACTCAGGAATTACCTCTTAAAGAAAGAAACTGGGGATAAAAAAAAAGCAGGAAAAAATAATTTTCTTGTAATTTATCTCATCTGATCCTCAAGCAGCTCTGTGATCCATTAAAATGACGGTGGTCACGGAGCCTATCCTGTGGATTAATTATCATTTGCTAACTATCAGGCACTGTGCTAAGAGTTTCACATGAATTATTTGCAACCCCATTACTGTTCGAGCTGGGTAGTATTTTTTTTTTCAATTAATAAACTTAATTTTTCAGATCAGCTTTAGGATCACAGCCAAAGTAAGCAGAAAGTGAAGAGAGTGCCCATATACCCCCGTCCTCACATGCATGGCCTCCCTTCCTGCCCCCCCCCCAGCAACACCCTCCCCCAGAAGGGGCATTTAGAACCTCTGCCTTGACACCTCGTAATCGCCCAAAGCTGGGTGGTATTTTTAATCCTTGCATTTCAGGTGGAGGTGGCCTGCCCAGAGTTACCCAGCAAATTAGCTTCAGACAGAGCTGGGGACAGGTGTTTTTCCCACAGTCTAGTGTTCTTCCTCTCAGAAAGATGCCTTCCCTTTCTTTCAATAGCTAAAGCGCACCTGACTCCTTGCTTATGTCATAGGTGTTCCTGAGACGCAAGAATGGACGTGAGGATTTCTATCGCAACTGGAAGGCCTATGCCGCTGGGTTTGGGGACCGCAGAGAAGAATTCTGGCTTGGTAATGCAGCTCTGCATGTTTGCAGCCCAGCTACCCACTTCTGCTCTCCTCATTTGTCCTAACTCACAGCAATCCATGGGTGAGAAGAAACTAGGCGGGAACAATGTCTGTGAGAGTGGATACAGAATAGCAAATCTTCAGTGGAAAAGACGTTCAGTTCTCTAGGTTATTAAAAATAAAACTCTGGTCGGGGCACCTGGGTGGATCAGTCAGGTAAGCGTCTGACTCTTGGTTTCGGCTCAGGTCATGATCTCACAGTCGGTGGGGAGATCAAGCTCTTCATCAGACTCAAGGCAGAGTGTGGAGCCTGCGTGGGATTTTCTGTCTCTCCCTCTCTCTCTGCCCCTCCCCTACTCATGCTCTCTCATGCTCTCTCTCTCTCTCTTTCAAAATAAATAAATAAACTTAAAAAAAAATAAAATAGGGGCGCTTGGGTGGCTCAGTCGGTTGAGCATCCAACTTCGGCTCAGGTCATGATCTCACAGTTCGTGGGTTCGAGCCCCGCATCGGAGTCTGTGCTGACAGCTAGCTCAGAGCCTGGAGCCTGCTTCAGATTCTGTATCTCCCTCTCTCTCTGACTCTCCTCTGCTCATGCTGTCTCTCTCTGTGTCAGAAATAAATTTTTAAAAACATTTTTAAAAAAATAAAAAATAAAATAAAATAAATTAAAATTAAATAAAACTTGGGTCTAACCTTGAGTCTCATGGCACTTGTGCAAGGTTCAAAACCCCCACCTTGCACATGGGCCAAGGAGACGAAGCTGCATGCCCACAGAATCTAGCCAATAAGCAGTTGAGCTGCCACTTGAAATTCCCCCAAACCAACACAACAATGCCATCACCCATCCATCCATCCATCCATGCACACAGCTTGCCTTCTCATGCAAGAAGTTTGAGAGTTGAAAAGGTGCTTTCTCTACCGTACCTCCTGATCCTTTTTTAAAATATGTATTTATTTATTTATTTATTTAGAGAGAGGGAAGGAGGGAGAAAGAGGGGGACGAGGGGCAGAAAGAGAGGGAGAGATAGAATCCCAAGCAGACATCATGCTGTCAGCCCAGAGCCGGCCGCAGGACTCAATCTCACAAGCCATGAGCCAAATCAAGAGTCCCACACTTAACCACTGAGCCACCCAGGCGCCCCCACTGTGATCTTCACAGTGCCCTAGGAAGTTGGCAGGGCAAAGATGTCAACCCAATTCTACCGGAGGCTCAGAATCATCCAGTATTTTGCCTGGTGTTGCTCCCGTGAGGAGTGGACCAAACCACAAGCCCAGATCGATGTGACCCCAGTCTCTTTCGAGAGCCTAACCGCTGCTCTTGCAGGGGGGATGGAGTAGAAACAATGGCCTCGCTCACTCGTGCTGCCTCTGTAACCCTTGCCTGTCGTCCACAGGGCTGGACAATCTACACAAAATCACAGCCCAAGGGCAGTATGAGCTCCGGGTGGACCTGCGCGACCACGGGAAGACCGCCTACGCCGTTTACGACAGGTTCAGCGTGGGAGATTCCAAGACCCGCTACAAGCTGAAGGTGGAGGGGTACAGCGGGACCGCAGGTAGGCGCCGGGGTCCACACTTCCGGCTTCCGGCCCCGCAGAATGCCTTCCTAGTGTTTTTAGTGCATTCCCTCATCACTCCTTCCTTCATTAATGCATCCACTTCTCAGATCCACAAAGTACCTGAATCCTTATTAGGTGCTAATCCAGAGCTGCAGCTGAACAGAGCAGGCTAGATAGTTTGGTCAGCAGAACACAGAGTAGGTTGGGAATCAAAAAAATATGTCTTTTTCTTACCCATTTTTAGATATCAGTTTTAGATGGATTGAAAAACAGTCTCTTGGGGGCTTTAATGGTCATCTAATCCAGTGCACATATGACCCCCGGGGACCCGGAGCTGACACCCCAAGATTCTGCATGTCTTACAGGTTCCCTGGGGATCCCGCTGGTCTGTGGACCACACTTTGAGTAGCCAACACTCCACTCCGGCACCAATTGCTTGAATCTTTTCTAAGACAACCCTGCCATGTGTCATCCAGCCTCAGCCCACACGTGACCTCAGCCCACACATGACCAGAAGCTCATGGCTTGTCTGTTTCTAATGTTTATTTATTCATTTTAAGAGAGACAGAGAACACAAGCAGGGGAGGGGCAAAGAGAGAGGGAGAGAGAATGCCAAGCAGGCTCTGCGCTGTCAGCACGGAGCCCAGTGTGAAGCTTGAACTCACGAACTGTGAGATCATGACCTGAGCCGAAATCAAGAGTCAGTCGCCTAACCAACTGAGCTACCCAGGTGCCCCAGCTCACTGCCTTTCAAGCAGCCCTTTCATTCCCTATCTGGTACATAACCTAGCTCAGATTTTGAAGATTTCATCGACTTGAAATGGCCCTGGTGTGGTTTTTCTGGCTCAACAGTAGAGGAGAAATTAAAATAAAGAAGCAACATGCATTCAGGCCTACTAGGTAGCATCTTCTGCAGATATTCGGCCTGCATCATTTCTCACAGAAACTCTTCCAGGAAGATGTTGCTGTTATACAGATGAGGAAACTGAGGCCCAGAAAAGGTGGGTGATTTGCCCCGGGGTGAAGCAGCTTGCAGAAGGTGGACCAGGGGGCAGGCCTGGCTGTGGACAAGTGTGGATCGGGTCTGACAGCAGGACCACCCAGTAGCACTCTTACCTGCTTTGGGATGGCGTCCAGTTATGTCCATGAAAACAGAAAAGACAGAAGCTAGGGTACATTTCCAACCTCCCCGAGCCCCACAGGGAAACATCCATAATGCAAAGAGTCTCCAGGTTAAGATTTGCTAAGAGCCAGGCAGGATCTAAGGAGAGACCGAGCTCTTTTGAAATCAGTCTGGTGACAGTCAAGAGGGAGAGGCTTATGGGGCAACAAGGGCCACAGTTATTTTCTGAATCGCTTGAAGAATCCTGGCCTTTTATTACCTGGCAATAAATACCTCTTTGAGTGAAGTGGCTTCAGGCAAGAAGGATATCATCACTGGACAAAGCCAAGCCACGGGGCAGCAGGATGTGGCCTCCACCCGTCTTTCTCTGCATTTCCAGAGCCCCTTCACTAAGGTGACCCTGGTAACGCTGCATCTGGTGGCAGCCGGCCCTCCCCAGGAGGGCATCTTGTGTCATCCATACCCACCCGCTCGTGGTAGCTTCCTTGTTAAAAAGGCCTCCGAGATCCTTTGGACTTTGATTCAAGATGTCAGGGCAAAATGTTTCAGTGTCTTAAAATGTTTGCACGCTACATCGGCCAGAGCTGGGAGTGTGGGGACACAGAAAGAAATGGCACTTAAATGTCCCTAAAATGCAATACATTAAATGTCAAACTGGATCCCTAGATAGTGCTACATACAGATGGGCATCTTGTCTAAGGATCAGAGATCACTGGCCCCATAAACAGTGAAAAATAACTGTATGATGCACATGCTATTTGGTGGCATCTGATATCTAAAGGGTTTGATTACTAGTGTGGCACTAAATACTTGTATTTGCTGGGGAAAGCTCACCATTATTAAATACAGGTTTTTCATCTTCCTCTCTGAGCTCCGTTATGTAAAGGAATGTGAAAAAATGATAAAAGTCACAACAGTCACAACTATTGTACATATTATCCTACCCATTCAGCATATACCTTCAAATCCATTGTCCAAACAGCACCCAGAGGTGAATAGAATCGGTGTTCTGGCTCCATTTTATAGAAGAAAACACTGGGGCTCAGCAAGACGCTTGACGTGTGCACAGTCACATTAGGGAATGAAAGGGACAGGACTTGAAGCTGGACCCTCCAAAGCCACCCACAACCTTCTTTCTACCACCTTATGCTGCTTCTAGAAGTGAGCCCCCAGGGTAACTCTCAGGTCCCCTCCAGCCCCGTGTTTGACCCTAATTCTGGGTTCAGTGTTTAAGGCCAGCCCACCCCAGTCCCTTTGAGTGGCCACCCTGGCTCTGCCCTTCGGAGCCCACAAGGACACTCCAGCCGGGATTCCTCAGATCCACTGATTTCTCTCTGCAGGTGACTCCATGGCTTACCACAACGGCAGGTCCTTCTCCACCTACGACAAGGACACGGACTCAGCCATCACCAACTGTGCCCTGTCCTACAAGGGGGCTTTCTGGTATAAGAACTGTCACCGTGTCAACCTGATGGGAAGATATGGGGACAACAACCACAGTCAGGTGAGCAAACCGCGAGGGTCTGGGGCAGGGCTTGGGAAGCCAGTTGGGGGTGATCGGCAGGCACTCCTGCCCCTCGGTTCTGGCTGAGACTGGAGGGCTGGGGGACAGCAACCTCCAGGAGATGGTGGCACCTCTGTCCCCAGCAAGGAGAAACCTCAGGGACACTGCAGGTCAGGTGAAATCCTAGACGCGGCCCACGTTAACCCGTGAAGAGCCTGGGGAGGATCACCAGTCACGTGGATTCCAAACACAGAAAGGTCTCCTCAGACAGAGCCCTGGTCTGCAGCCTGGAAGGAACACAGATAAAATGGAGGCTGTCTAGGTGAAGCAGGGGTGAAAGTGGGGTGTTCTTTCCTCCTTCTTATGTTGCCTCAAGGATACTCCACGGTAGCTTTCTTCCACCACCTTTATTTCCTTGTCTCTGACCACCTGGGCAATACAGAATCCTTCTGGGGGTGGGGGGCACCAACCAAAAGCTGCCTGCCCAAAAGGAAACTTTTCTTTCCACCTCCCTCCCACCCAATGTTGGAAGAAGAACGAGCTGATGGAAAAGGGCCACAAGGCGTTAGGTGAGTCCCACCCCAGCTACGGCTGTGCTCTGGCCGCTGCGTGGACTCTGGGACATCAGTCTCCCTCTCTGGCCTCTGTCTCCCACATAGAACGTGGAAGGCTTGCTTCTGGCCTCCGTCTGAGGGAAGCAGGAGGGCAGAGGAAGGGCAGTGCAAAGCCCAAGCCATCGGGTGGCAGTACTTTACAGGCACCGAGGAGTCACAGCCGCGTTTGCCCAAGAGGAGAGCCAGGCTTTCTCAAATCCCACCTCCCTGTCAGATTCAGACACTGCCTGATGTCAGTGAATGCCAAAAACTTAGAATCAAATAGTGTCTCTTTTTTTTTTTTTTTAGTTCATCATACCAGCCATGCACTTCTCCATGTCCCCTCACAGCCCCTCACAGCTCAAAGAGAAGAGGGGTCATCTGTTACGTTTCTCAAATTCCACATATGAGTGAAATCATATGATATCTGTCTTCCTCTGACTGACTTAAGGGAAGAAAAATAAGATAAAAACAGAGAGGGAGGCAAACCGTAAGAGACTCTTAAAATACAGAGAACAAGCCTGAGGGTAGATGGGGGGTGGTCTTAAATGAGGGATGGGCATTAAGGAGGGCACTCTCGGGATGAGCACTGGGTGTCCCACACATCAGAGATGAATCACTGGGTTTTACTCCTGAAGCCAAGACTACACTGTATGTTAACTAACTTGAGAATAAAATAAAAATAAACTTAAACTTAAAAAATTGTTAAAAAAAAAAAAAGAGAGAGAGAAGAGGGGTCAGAGAATGTGTTGGTGGCCTCACAGCAGCACGCCTGAGAGCGGACACCCCTCCCCCAGTGGGGCAAGGGCAATCTCTACCATGTGCGGACTGTGTGGAAGAGCCAAGCATGGCATTAGGAGGCCCAGGCACAAATATAATCTTTTCTTGAGAAAAATAAATCTTTGGCCAATTTTCCAAGGATATTTCTCCCTATCTGAGATCAAGGAGGTAATATTTACTTCGCACCTGCAATGCGCCTGGTACTCCAATTGTTCCTTTACAAATTCATTTAATTTTCATGGCACCTTTTCAAGGTTGGCACTACCAGACCCTAAGGGCGGGGGTGGGGGAGAAAGATAGTGAAACTGAGGTCCAGAAATTTTTGACGACTGTGTACGGCCATTTATGCCTCAAGTAAGAACATTAAGATTGAACTCTGCATGTCAGGTTGTACAAACCCTCATTAAAACACTCCACGAGACTCCCGTGAATTAGAGACCCCCCTGCATATAGCTACTCAATTCTGTAACCTCCAGCCATGACCTGAATTCCTTCAGCACCTGTTCCTACCCATGGCAAGTCTCATCAGCCACCATTTTGTTTCACAATGGCAGTTCAAAGCTCAATGCAAATGCAGGTGACTCCTGACTAAAATTTTAAAAATTGAGTCAGATTCAGCCAGCTCCTTTGAAAGTTTTCACCACACAGACCAACAGACAGATAGACAAGAGACAGCTGTGAACTACCAAATGGTCAGGTTGAAACAGACCTCCTTTTATTCCGACAACTAAGCAGCAACGATCAGTGACCACCTTGCCTGTTGGAAACCCACCTGGAGATCTCCTCTTTTTTACAGGGTGTTAACTGGTTCCACTGGAAGGGCCACGAATATTCAATCCAGTTTGCTGAGATGAAGTTGAGACCCAGCAACTTCCGAAACCTCGAAGGCAGGCGCAAACGGGCGTAAGTTCCAGGGACAACTGGGTGAGAGAGGAGTAGGGCCCAGAGAAAGAAGCAAACTTTACCAAAGTATCAACACAATCAGTCCAACCATCAAACCACGCCCAGGTATTTGGCAGGAGTTACAGTTGACCGTGGATCACTGAGGCCAATGGCGGAAGCACCCGCCTCACCTACTCTGCGAGTATTTCCTTCGCACCAAAGACAACGATCTCCACAGGTTTCTGTTTTGTTGTTTGAATCAGAAAAAAAAAAAAAATCTTCCAGTGACAGCATCACAATGGTTGTCCTTCTCTTGGGTGGCTCTGGGAATGGGCGAGGGGTAGGCTGTACAGTGGTAGTCCGTGTTAGAACCAGCTGTATTTTACACAAAGCTGTATAATTATCGTTATTTCTGTCCGCAACGATTCAGTGTGTGTCATTGGAGGCCGTCCCCCCCTTTTTTTTACATTTCATACAGCAAAAACCAGAAAAGCAATACAGTTTCGATTTTAAGGATATGATTAATATGATTAATATAATAATAATGATGAGGAAAACTAAGAATTTTTAAAGAGATCTTCCTTTCCAAAACACATCTGGACAGTACCTGATTGTATTTTTTTTTTTTTTTAATAAAAGCACAAGTACTTTTAAATTTGGCTGTTGCTTTGCTCTTCGTTGTTGAGTCTGAATTCCACCAAAGCCAACGTATTTGAACAGAGGGAGGAAAGGTGAGGATGGATGGTGGTCAAGTCAGAGAGGAAGAAGGAAGGGTGGTGGGGGATGGGCTGGGAGAGAGGAAAGCACCGTTTTGAACAAAGTTGAACGAGGTTGGAAAAAAGGTTACCACTTAAGATTCAGCCTCTTGCCCAACATTTTCAAGACTAATGGTTTGTGGCTTCAGAGGTGTTTTTATACCCACCTTCTAAGGTAACCTCCTAAAAATTCCATGATACAGATGAGGTAACAACTGTCATCTAGCAAGGATTAAAGTGCCCAGAGGCAGACAGACAGCCTGCGTTCAAACCTTGGCTCCACCATACCCTCGTTCCCTTGCCTCTTTGTGTCTCACTTTCCTAGTGAGTAAAGTAGGGACGCTCACACTTCCTCATGGCATTTCTGCGAAAAAAATAAATGATATCATCCAGATGAAGAAGCCCCTGACATGGTGCCTGGTGTATATTAAGTGCCACTAAGTGTTAGCTGTCACTGCTATTACTTTATATATGACAGATGGGGGTTCACAGAAGTTCAACGACTTGCCCGCGGCTACCTACCCACTTAATCAGAGAACTAGGATTTCAACTCCGGTCTCAAAGTTCTTGTCCTCACTCGCTGAGGAAATCCCTCCCTCCCCCAGGAAATGTGTGCCATAGGCACACATTACAGAATGATTGAGGGTGGGAAAGTTCAGGTGGATCCTTCCTACAACCCTGAGGCCTTAGAACTAGAAAGAAAACTGGGCGCCTGGGTGGCTCTCAGTTAAGCAGCCGACTTCAGCTCCGGTCATAATCTCACGGTTCGTGAGTTCAAGCCCCACGTCGGGCTCTGTGCTGACAGCTCAGAGCCTGGAACCTGCTTCAGATTCTGTGTCTCCTCTCTCTCTGCCCCTCCCCGCTCACACTCTGTCTCTCAGTCTCTCAAAAATAAATAAATGTTAAAAAATTAAAAATAAAAAAAAAGAACTAGAAAGAATGTCTGTTAGGAATATTCCCTTCTCCCTGACTCAGAGCCCCATGGCCCCCAGCCCTGGCCTGAATGCACTGAGGGGTGGAGGTAATTCACTGCCCAGCACAGCAGATCTGTTTGTACTTGGCAACTGTCCAGTCAGACCCACACATTACACGGTTGTCTTTTAAAACATGGTGACTTGGGGGGTGGGGAGCAATTCCCAGATGATTCGCTCAGAGATTTTCAGCAAATGGACTTATTTAATGAAAACGTTTGGGCTGATAGGCCTCATTCAAATGGAATGTGATGGCTCAGAGGCGAGGATGAGAAGAATTTGTGGCTCAGCCAGACCCTTTGCCGCTGAGTTTATCTTGCTTTAATAAATGCTGTCATGTTATATACACAACTGGCGGTTCCAGATCATAAGACTCGTTGCCTGCAATTCGGCCATAGCAACGCTTGCCTTGCCATGTAAACCCCAACAAACGGGCTCCCTACAACAGTCCAGCCTTACGTGGGAGGCTTAACCCTCTGTGCACTGCTCCCTTGGGAGGCTCTGAGCCCCAGCCCTAGCCCCCCCACCCCCCGCCCAAATGCAGATGTAACTAAGCTGGTGAGGTACTTCCCAGAAACCACACCAGAATCAGATGCCAGTTGGTGAAGAATCCCCATCAAATGTGAGTCCTTGACCTCGGCCCTGGGAAGGGGGGCAGATACCCCCATATGGGGGTGGGTAGGGAGAAGGGCCAGAGCCAAGATACTGAATGCTGCATAGTCAGTTTCAAGCTGCCCACATACCGGTCAACGCATGAGCTCACCATGCCTCAAACATGTCCTTCAGTGACTGACTCTAGCTTTGTTCAAGCAACCTCTCCCATCTCAAAAGGTCTCCTGGAATTCTAGTCCACCCTCAAAGTCCAAGTCCACTTCTGCTTCCCATGAAGCTCCCCACTGAGAATGAATTTCCAAGGAGTCTGCCCTTCCCTTTACCCTTCATCCATCTGCTCCCCTCCCTTTCCCCGGCTTGTAGCCTTCAAAGCCACCCCGCATTAATGATATCTCAGGTTTTGGGTAAGATATCAAAACGGGAAGTGCTGAGACACTGAAGGCAGGAGACTGGGCAGTTAGGGGGTCAGGGTACTACTTTTCCAGCCCCATCCCTATAGCATCACAGGGCAGATAACTGTTTCCATTCTAACAGAGCAACAGTGCTGGTCCATTGGCCGTCTCCACTCAGCTCCCCAGGTTTAGGGTAACTGCTCCCTCCACAGGCCCCTTCGGACCTCAGGATGGTCTGTGTACCTCAGCTGCTCTAGACCTGTGAACTGTGTTAGCTCTAGTGGCTCTCCTCCACACTGCTCACACCTTTGGAGACAATCCCTCAACTTCTGCCTCTCCCAAGGACCCTGACAGACATGGCCACACTCCGAGATGCTGGGCACCACTGTTACAACTGCCTGCTCGCCTTATACCATTATTTCTACTCACACCTCCCACCATGGAAGCCATAGGGGAAAATACTCTTTCCTCCTCCCCATGGGAGCTGGGACACGTAACGTGAGCTTTGCCCTCTGGATATCTGCAGAGGGACTTTTAATCTTGAGCAAGGAATGCCAATCAAAGAGCCCATGCGGCTGGCTTCCCCAATGCCAGCACAGTGTTCGTCCACATATCGCCATCCTTTGGGACAATCAATCCCACCTTCTCCCTTTCTCAGCTTGGCCCTTCCACGCCTTTCTTCTTCCCACCATTCCTTGCCAACTCCAAGGATGGGGGGTCCTTTTGAGCTGCACTGATTGGGTCTCTTCTCCCAAGATTTCTCTCTTCCCTTTTCATTTAAAAGTCAGTACTGAATACGGCCCATGTGCGCAGCACTAAGTGACCAAAATAACCATGGGCCCTTGTGCAGCTGGGGCTGCACGGGCCCGTGCTGGGGGGAGACTGGCACCAGCCACCACATCAGACAAGTGTATAACTGCAAATTGAGTGAATCTGTACTTGCATGTTTTGGAAGTAAATCCAAGACACTATGAGAACGTCTATGAAGACCTGACCAGGAAGGCTTTCCAGAGGAAGGGCATCTGAATCATCACCTAAATGACAGGTAGGAGTTAACCAGTGAAGAAGGCAGGGGAGGCGGAGGGGAGGGTACCCCTAGAGGCAGTCAGGCTGTGCAGAAAAAAAGCCAGGGGCAGCAGCAAGAATCTGGTTCCTCAAGTTCTTTTGGTCCAGCTTTTTCCTAAGTGCAATAGGAAGTCGCTAAGGAATTTTAAGCAGGGAAAGATGATGATCATATCTTTTCTTTAAACCATCTTTTTGTTGCACTTTCAACCTGGGCTGGGAGGTGTGAGATGGAAGGTGCTGCAGGGGTGCAGGTGAAAGGTGATGGAGTCTGGGTAGGTGTGGTGTTGTGGAGATGGAGCATATGATTCTGAGAGACATTCAGAAGGTAAAACCCATAGGGATGTGGGGGCCCAGAGAGCCGCTCCACGTCCACACCCCAGTTTCTGAAGGGCTCTCAGTTCCTGCAGGTCTCTTCCAGATGCGACTCCATTGTCTTCTTAGGGTGTGCAGAGCTGGAGTCAAGGCCCCATTAACCTCAGGAACCAGGAAGGCTGCAGGGTCCCGGAGCACTAGGCATCTCTCCTCGGACTTTGGTTGGCATGGGGAGAAGGGAACAGGGAGGCTTCTTGGGGGTTACGGTGGTTAGAATGAGGAAGGATAGATCCCAAGGGGAGTCTGTGGCTGAATTGCAAAGGGTGAAGGTGATGGCAGGGCCTTGCCCCTGGGGGCTTTGTGTCCTGTAAGTGCAGCTGAGAGTTGCTGATGGTGTTTAGGGCAGGAGTGACAAAACCAGTATCTTTCTTTAGAAGGCTCACTCCCGTACTAAAAAGGCATTTGCTCTGGCCTCTGGCCTCAGTAGGATGTTGGGCGAACTCACAGGTGTCCCCTGCCAGGATTTGGGCGGGTGTGCTAAGCCAGTGGCCAGCAGGGGGCTCACTCCCTCACCCTCCTCCCTCCAGGGCCAGCCACGCAAATGAATTTAAAGTTCAGAAAGGAAGCAGGAAAAGGCTCTCCTCTTGAAAATCACTCCATTGTATAGATAAACCATACCTTCTTGATCCATTCGTCAGTTGATGGTTTATCTATACGATGGAATACTACATGGCAAGGAGAAAGAATGAAATCTGGCCATGTGTAGCAACATGGATGGACCTTGAGGGTGTTATGCTTGAGCAAAAGGCAGGTATCAGGCAGAAAAGGACAGATACCATGTGTTTGCATATATAGGTGGATTAGGAGGAACTTAACGGAGGACCATGGGGGTGAAAAAGGGGAAAAATAGTTGGGGAAAGGGAGGGAGGCAAACCATGAGAGACTCTTGAATGCTGAGAACAAACTGAGGGCTGATGGGGGTGGGGGAGAGGGGTAGGTGGGTGATGAGGATGGGGAAGGGCACTTTTGTTGGGATGAGCACTGGTTGACTGTATATGGAAACCAACTTGACAATAAACTATTTAAGAAAAAAATAAAAATAGAGTTTCCCCTCTGAAAAAAGAAAAGAAAAGAAAGAAAATCACTCCAATCTCGC